CTATAGTACTTAGATCTTATAGATATTAGAGGCGTAGAAACTTATAAGGTAGCTTATATACGTGTGTATATTAACTTTAAACGCTCTCTTTTCTTTTCTAAGTACTTATTCTACTATTAGTAAGTATACTTTATATCTATATATATAGATTCTATTCTAGTTAAGTTTAAAATCTATAGTTATATAGGCTATAATCGTAGGATTATACTACTAAAAGTAGTTATAAAACTACTAGTTATTAACCTTAAGTAATAATCTCTAATTTTACGCTTTACTAGAGTACTTATTATAAAGATAAATATCTACTAAAGCGTATTCTAATCTAAGTTCTTTAGAGAGATTTATAAATAGTTATATTTTCACTACTTATATAATTGCCTCTTAGCTAGCTTATTCCGCTATATTATTCGGTTTATATATAGTAGTAAAGGAAAGCTCAAGCTTAATACTAAGCTTATCTACCTATATCTTATACCTTATAAACTTTTAAATTATAATAACTACCTTCTCTTAATCGTACTTGAATTTATAGATTAAGAGCTTAAACTAAGTATATACCTAGCGCTTAAAGCTTTTAATACTTTTAAATATTTTATTATAAGATTTTAATTAGAGTATATAGCTAATAAGTAGTCTACTATACTCGTATTTAAGTACTAAGAGCTAGGAGTAGTTTCTAAGGTATTCTAAGAAGTTAAATAGATCCTAACTAATTCTTTAAAATAGCTTTATTAATCTTCGCTTTAGTAAGTAGTAGGATATAACTTAAGTAGTATACACTAGTATATAGTACTCGTACTTTAAGCGTCCTATAGTATTAGTTATTCTTACTTCTCTTAAGGCTCTTACTAGCTTTTAAAGAGTATTTAGACCTAAGTGTTCTAATCGTAGATATTATACTATTTCCGAATCTAAGTAGGATTTACTGTAATTATAAGATAAGTAAAATACTTGATTCTATAAATAATTTACGCTTATAAATACTATAATACTAGCTTTATTAAATAGGATCTTATAGAGGTTAGAAGAGCAGTTTAAACGCTTATTATATTTAAAGAATATAAGATTAAGTTTATAAATAAGCTATCAGACTACTAGATAATCTCTTATAAGCTAACTATTATCGCGCTATCTAAGCGTATAATCTATCTTATAGTACTATAAGCTTATGTTCTAGAGATAAGCTTCTGAAATAATATTTATATAGAATCCCTTAACTATAGCTATATCTATAAGTATAAAGTTAAAGGTATTTCTATTTATTCTAATAAGTACGTTTCTAAGTATATAAGTGCTATATCTAATAATTAGTAACTAAGAGCTTTTATACTCTATAGTATTATATGAATCCGCTTTTATAAATAAGCCTAGTTCTAATAAGAAGCTATTATTAATAAGATTAGTAACTCTATAGTTATCTAGAAAAGTACTTACTAATAATAGGTAATACTTATAAGCTCTTTAAGTAAAGTAGACTTTAAGCTAGAATACTTTATCTAGGTCTAGGAGTATAATAATATAGTTATTACTAAGCTATCTTTCTCTCTTATCTATTAAGTTTCTAAAGAAGGAGCTCTTTAGCTTATTTAAGGATTTACTTAATCCTTACTTCTATAGAATACTTTTAATTTCTAGTAGAAGTAGTAAATTAGTGCTTTTCCTAAACTTCGCTCTAAGTAGCTTCTAGTATTTACTTATAAAGCACTTATAGATCTTTTCTAATTTCTCCTTACTTAGGTTTAGTTTTTACTTACTAGTATTAGTAAAGAGCTTTCTATATACTACTAGCTAGAGCTTACTATAATCTTTAGGGGCTTACTTATATATTCTATTATAAAAGTATAAGTACTTTTTCCTAAACGCTTAATATACACTTCACTACTAGATTCTAAAGCAGAAGAACCTTATCTTTTACTACTCTTTTCTCTAAGGGTAGTGAAATAACTATATCTCTTACTTTTACTACTTATAAGCTTATAATATTATATATTAACTTCCTTTATATAGAATAGTCGTATAAGCTATAAAAGAGTATATAACTACTCTTTTCTAAGATTATTAGCTTCCTTAAATTAGAGGTAGTACTTATAGGACTATATATAATTAAAGTTACTTATAGCGATCAGAAAGTCTATAATCTTAAGCGTTCTATCTATATCTAGAATATAGTATAAGATACCTTTACGTATAAGCTCTTAGTAAGATATAATCTAAGTCCTAGGGTTAAGCTTAGCTCTTTTTACTAACTTAAGTAATAATCGATATTTACTCTTAATCGAGGTTTAAATAGTACTATTTATCTGATTTAGGATATATTTAAGTAATCGAAAGAGTACTTAAATATTAAAGCTCTTATTAGTAATAATTTCTATACTCGCGATCTTAAAGTATTACTTAGCTATTATTTTCTCGATCTATTTATAGAGCTTTTAGTACTAAGTCGTTCAAGGTTACTAGATCTTAGCGTTTATCTTCTATAGCTCTTACTTAGCTTTTACTACTACTTTATAATCTAAAGCTTTTATTAGTATAACTTATATTAAAGCCTTTAGAATAGCTTAGAGAGATCTAGAGTTCTTACTTAAAGAGCTCTATAGAGTTCTTAAATTTTATACTACTACCTAGCTTATAAGCTCTATCTTATACCTAGTATAGGAGATTTTATATAATTCTATCTTATAAGCTATTATATTAGCTACGATTTACTCTATAATCTAAGGGAGCTTATTAAGGATTTAAGTAAGAGAAAGAGTATCTAAAGCTTCTAGATTAATATAAAGCTAGAGTCCTAGAATATTTATACTTAGTATTAAGTGCTTTATCTAAGTAAGGAAGTCTTCTAGTTTTAAGTATATAGTATTAGTACTAAGTTATTATCTAGATTCTAGATCTATTAGAAAAGTAGATATAATTATAAAAGAGTTATAAAGATTTAGGAATTAAGAAATAATCGAAAGGTTCTAGTTAAAAGCTTAATTAAAGTAATAGAACTATATATATACTAAGTACTTAGGAGATAGATATAGCTCTTAACTATTATATAGTAGTAGAGTAAGCTTTTATATAGTAGAGGGCTTACTTAATTAAGTGGAAGTTATAGTATTAAAAGATATATTTAAAAGAGTATTACTCCTTAGAATCAGGGGCTAAGAGTATACTATATATATATAGCATACTTACTAAGTATACACTAAACCTAAGATAGGCTCACATAGCGCTAGTGTTCGACAACTCTAAAGCTTAAAAGATATATATTCCGATAAGTATTTATAAAAGAGAGCTATATAGTAAATATAATACTAAGAGTAATAAGTTACTTAGCCTCTTTATTATCTTAACTAATAAGAAGAATCCTACTTAATCAGTTTTCACTTAATAAAATACTTAAATTATAATAATAAATCTTAACTAGAAAGCTACGAATATTTATTTCTTTAATAATTATATTACTCTTATAGATAAGAATTAGCTTAAGAATAATATTTTAATTAATAAGTATATAATAGATTATATTTAGTAAAAGATCTTAACTACTCCGCGATTTATAAGATATCTAAGAACTTATACTTCGTTTATTACTATTCTAACTATAACTAGATTTAGAGCTCTTTCGGAAGCTTTACTTAGTTATCTACTATAGAGTAATCTTACTATTATTACTAAAGCTACTACTTTACTAGTAATAGATAATAAGGAAATTATGAAATATCTTAAGTAATACTAAAAATAATAAGTTAAACTTATAAACTACCTTTAGGATAAAACCTTAAATATAAAGGAAATAGCTTATATAAAGAAGTCTTAAGCTTAGAATCAGGAAAATAAAGTTAGTCCTAATAATATTATTAACTAAGATTTCCTTAGAGAATTATTAAGATATAAAGAAGAAGTTATTTAGCTTAAGGACTTAGATAATAAAGTAAATAAGGAGTTAGAGAACTTAGATAAGAGATTATTAATAAGCGATAATAAAGAAACTACTAAAGAACTAAACACGGAGCTTAATTTACTTAGATAATCTTAGCTAGTAATTAATAATAAGAATAAAGCAGATTTATAGTAACTCCTAACTCTTAAGCTCGCCTTAAGAGTAGAAGAGAAGTAAATTAGTAATAATAAAAATAAAGAATCTAAATCTAAGACCTCTAATACTTATAAGCTTAGCTTAAGAGCTTGAAGTAATAACTAGTACGAACTTAAGGATCTTATCTTTAAGGAACTTAATAATAATTCGTAGCTTAAGATAATAAGATCTTTAGAGTAATTATCTAAAAAGTCTTAATTAGCTTTATTAGAACCTAAACCTAAGCTTAAAATTAAGCTTTAAAAGATAAAGCCTAAGGTACTAAAACTAAAACTTACTATATACTTCCGCTTTTAGGTACTATTCGCTAATATAGCTACTAGATTATTAACTCTAGATAAGTCTCTTAAACTTATTAATAAAAATCGGCTTTTTTCTAATACTAGTAGATCTCTATAAAATACTATACTTATAAAATCCTATATAGAAGATAACTTAACTATAATACTAAGTAGAGATAATAGATCTAACTAATCTACTCTATCTAAAGGTAAAAAGTATAAATCGAATAAGAAAAATATAAGACTTATAAAAAAGTTAAGAAAAAGTAAGAGGTAACTTATAATCTTAGATTAAGAGTCTATTATAGGATATATTAAGTTATTAGGTAGAAAAGTTAGTATTATTAATTTAATTTTTAAAGAAAAGTATAATTATATATTTATTCTTTTAATTCTCCTCTTAAAATATATATAATATATATCTGAATTATAGTTAAGGATAACTACTAATCTAATTAAGGATAAATATAAAATAAACTTTTATCCTACTTTAGTTAGTACTTTAAGGCCTTAAGTTAGACCTTATATTAGTGATATTTATTATTTATAAGAACCTCTATTTAATACTATAATAAAGATTTAAAGACTTTTTCCCTCTTAATTCTAACTTAAGTGTATTCTGATACTTCTTTATTCTACTCTCTTAGGCTTCCTTCTTTTGTGTAGCCTTTATAGTACATCCCCTTCTTATGCGTGCCTTGAACGTTGTAATTGAAGTTTCTTGCGTCGCCGTTCGCCTCTGGCTTGAAAGCAGTGAGAATCTTGCAAACTGGTGTGCTCCACTTATCATCAAGGGTCGCCGTCTCTACGAAGTTCGATGGGATCTTGTCCTTGCCTGGCGTATCGTCTGCAAAGTCGCTGAATTGAACTGCAGGAGGATCATTTGACTGACGCCTGGCGATAGGCGTATGGGCCGCCACATCTTTGCCTGGCACAACGAGAGGTGCGACCTGGAGGACGGAATTTCCAATTTCCGCATCAGTAACTCCATCCGTTGCCGGCAGAGCTGAAGCCAGGAGAGGCGTGAGAAGGATGAGGCAGAAGTGACGGGAGAAATGCATTTTGACAGTGGCTGGGAAATGAAGTCAGAAAGGTTTAACATATTGAGGGGATATCATTTTACCTGAGTGATCTTCGAAACTGAAACTGTGTATCGATGACAAATTCTTAGACGAAGTTGCAGGGAGGCGTCAAGTAGAAGGACAGGTATTGATTGAAGTGATGTGATGTTAAGCTCTGGGCTCTGGAAAAGGTGGAACTCTGGCGTGTATATATACACATATCTGTGAAAGAGATACTAGAAATGATGAACGATACACATATAAGCCAGATAACATGCCAGTTCCATATGTTGGCATTGAGGTTTCAATTAGAGCAGTGTCGACTTCTGAGAAGACACGTAGTGTTGACTTGATGCTATTTCAAGTCGCGGCTTGACGGTGGCAGCGCTTCGCAAATAGATCCTAGTCATCCCACCTGCATCTTCGGTGCTGTGTACACCCTTTGAATTGACAGAATTGGCTATTCCATGTCCCTGTGACAGTAGATGTTGCCACGGTTGCTCAACCTAGTTCATCGCGACGAAACTAGGTTTCTGGCGACAACTCAGTGACAGGAGAGGTTATGGGACTTTTGCGGTCCTCATCCTCATCGCCAGGAAGAGAGTACTGTTTCAGATACAATATACGGTTGGATTTCTCTCTATCCTGCGGCCCAATGGGTTGGTGTGGGCCACTTTTGGGGGGCCAGGTGTGCGCTGCATCGCTTGCTATAATGTTGGAGGATGCATGGCCCAGTTTGGCCAACCAACATATGCAGCGCTTCAAAACTAGCCCTGGCACCCACAGATAGCGTGAATTCTCTTCAAACCAGGCTGCACACCATCATAGCACAGCCCCAGCAGGCAGACATATGTTGTTACCCCCGGCCGTCGCGGAGATACTTGGACTCCTCATTCCGTCTTTCTACTTTCTACTACAACGAATGTCATCCTCCATCTAAATCTTTGAAGCCCAAGAGCAAAGAACATGCATCTCAAGAACTACTTTCAACACATTTCTCTCCTGGTGATGTTTATTTCACCCGCCGTCGCCGCGCCGGTGCCTCGACCATCTCTCGATGTAGCAATCTTGCGTGCTTTAGCTACTGGGCTACTTCAAGACAACGTCGATGGGGCCTTAGTCTCAGGTACACCACTCCTGTCTTCTTCTTGACATGTATGCTAAGAAGCAAAAGCTCCGAACCTTCTTGGGCCCGGTCAAAGCCGTGGCCTCATCAACATTCAGATCGGCCGAGGAAGCAGTGGCCACGACGCCTCGCTCTAGAAGAGATCGACGCTCGACAAAAGAGATGCAGGTGGCGAGCATAAAACAGGACGCGATTGTCTTGCAATATTGCCGATGGGAACATTGCAATAGGATCTGAAGGGAGGAACGGAAGCTGAAAAGAGGTTCGGAAGTTGGAGTAACAGGATACCATAATTTACACCACAAAGCCAATCAAGCCCACATTCCTTGTACATGACAGCCCTGAATGATCAATAGTCTAAGTGCATCCAACGGAGTCGTTTGGAATGACTTCGAATCTTCGTACCGCACATGAAAGGCAAAGAGAACATTTCAAAGATGCAGATCGTAACTGAACTATCGTGAATGTAATCTGTATGACACATGGCGATCAACACGAATGGGTCCGAAGTGTTACAGCACAATTTGACATCTGCCGAAGACAACGGGCAGCACGTGTTGGTCGTTGTCTGGGATGCATTTGGACCGAAGCAACAACGAGCAATTGAACCATAACATCTCTATATGTGGAGTAACTTAACATCTCCAATGCGAGGCGACTCCTTAACAAAGACATGCGAGAAAGGAAGCCTAGCCTTGATTGATGCCAAATCCGGAAAAGAATTGTAGCCTTGCTGAGAAATTTTCTCCTTAAGTATGCCTGCGTCGTGTGGCAGGCATGGGGGACGGCAGGTATTCCAGCGCTCCTCGGCGGATCCTGGCCAGTTTGAAATCCCCCAGGTCTTGCGATACTTTAGGCCGGGGCCTGGTGTACCCTGACGAACCATCCTGCACCAGATGCCGCCTCTCCCGGTTCAGAAATCGAAGCCGCTCCTGTGCTTCTTCGCTCTCTTGCTTCACAACAAACATGATTTCCTCTACCTGAGGGAAGTAGAACAAATCAATGTGGAGCGACCAGGGCGTTGTGGCACGGGTCAATGGCTCGAGCTCAATTGCAAGAAAGCGTAAGCGGTCAGGGTCATGCATCTTCCACATCTGCGTCAAGATGCCCTCTGATCCCCAATCTCGAATCCAGTAATATTTATCGTTGCGAACAAATAGAGTGTCAATCTCAGGGTTAAAGTAGATGTCTGATGCGTAGGTATCTTGGGTACCTTGAAAGATCAGATGGCCAGCACGTTGAGCGACATCATGTGCGATGCATCGAGCTTCATGGCAGATGTTGACCATTGTCGGCCGTGGGCTCGGTGAAAACCGAGGACACCAATCGTGTTCTTGACTGTGATGAGAGTGCTCTGCGGTGCTCACTTCAACTACACGCGCGTCCTGCGTAGTATAAACCAACTCCCAGATAGCCTGTCGAAGTTCGAGGCTCAGACTGGTCCATCCTGAGGCGACCACTGCACTAGACTCCATGCTGTGCAGATGGTGAGAGGAGAAGTTGGTTGGAATAATTTGGGGTGAGATGGTGGGGAAGGTGAGGCAAATATCTAGGCTTGCTGATTGCACCACTCACCACGTGCATGGGCGTTTCGCCTAAAACGACTTGTCAAGACGACGTGGCGGCTTCCTTTACCGAGAGGGCCCACTTATGTAAATATAAACACAGCAACATCGCTGGCTTAGTGAAAATCTAGGCTAACATCGCTTCCTAACTATCGCATCGAGGCATGTTCTGTATTTCATCCTAAATATTACCCTTGTGCATCATATGTTGCAGGATCAAAGTGTTGCGAAACTGCTTCCTGATTACAGAAATGGCATCCAGTGTTGGCGAAAATGGATGCTAATAGATTAGCCAACAGCCAGAACAAAGGTAGTGTATACGTGTCAATCTCAGACAGGATCTTTCTGTGTTTCGAACTACAGGATCGAGATCGGGTCTCAATTGCGAGGTGCACTGATCAATACGAGCTGATGAAGAATTGATTGGCAGCTTCGTGTTGGACATGACTCTCAAAATACTTTTTGGCAGCATTCAGGACCCCATACAAAATCTTGATATCACTCACAAGTCCAATTGTGGACGAGAGCATTTAAATATAGTCTTCATGTACCTCCAAGCCGCATATGTTGGGTTTCAGCCCGCCTCATCCCCACAGGTGGACCAGCGTTTGAATACGTGTCTCCCCCTCACTAACATTCTGCGCTGCCGTGCACAACTAGTCGACTGATTATGGTGTATATATGGAGGAACTTCCTCGCACTCATGCTTTTCATTTCCTCTCCACAATCGTTCCAATTGCTCAAAGCCCTTCCAATCACTGCAACACTCGAAGATTCTTACGGCCACAAGCCTCTTTCTGTTCCAAGTCAACCGAGTACCAAAACCACCATGCGTGCTTCTTCTACCTTACTTGCTCTCTTGGCTGCACCTCTTCTCGTATCCGCGTGGAGCGAAAGTCTGAGGGATTCGATGACTTGGGCCGAGTTGCTGGGGACAAACCTTATCTGTACCTACGATTATCCCAATGAGCCAGGAGTGCCTGAATCATTTACTTCGTCAATCAATCTTCATGAGTGTGTTGGTAATTCCAATGGAGCCCTTGTTGTAAGCCATTCATATCTTGCATGAGGAATACAAGCTAACTGGTTCTGGTAGGGACGGTATGTTCTCAACCTTACCTTCGGGGTATAGCGCTGGCTAACTGTATGTCATCCTATAGTAGTTCTGGCTACGATGCGACTTGTAAGGACTGCTCTGTCAGTTCTATCTGCAGGCTAGATTGTACCTGTACAGACGACGATGGAGATGAAGACCTATCTATCTTGGATCTCGGCAAGTTTGCATTCTTTTTGCCACTGACCCTTTCTAACTCTGTCAACAGATACTTTCATCAGGAATGAGGATGGTGTCCTTACATGCTAAAGAAGCCATGGGTCTCATTGATAGTCCTAGTCTTTGACCACACTTCAGTATGCAATATTAGTGAAGGTCATCGAGAAGCAGGAGAGCGTTGATTCATTCTTTTCTATTTCCTTTCTTGCCGATTGAATGCCGAGGGTTTGGGTGATATGATCCGATAGTTTGCCGTGTTCTAAGAGCTGATAAGAAGATCGGGACTCGTTTTTTGCTTGGTTCTATTTACTTTGACTGCTTCGTGTTTGGGAATTCTGCTTCAACTGTACTGTTACTCTATGGGTAAGAGAGGGAGAATACTTGTCAAGCTTTTACCCATATGAGAAAGCAATCAACCTTGTCAACCTCCGTTCGTACCTTCAGTAAGCGCTGCAATGACTGTTTTTTATTTCACAAGTGAATGAGAGATTGAAGTATCGCATATAAAACTACCCAAGTTTCCAGTCTTAGAGAAACAAGTAACAAACAACCTTCCCCTCGAACCGAATCCAGAAGCATGTTCGCGGCAAGGGTCCAATTTCTTTTCTAGTGAAATCTGTTCTGATCAAGTGAAGAAATGAACAGTCGAGGCGGCATGTTATAGATTCTAATCTATCTGTCAAAGACGAATGAGACAACCTTGAGTGTATAAAAGTGTTGGATTTGTTGTCAATTCCAATTTTACTGCCAATCCGCCAAAACTCAATCAATCATATTATCGGGTTTCAAGACCTGGATCGCCCTCAGTAGCGGAGTGTAACCCAGGCTTTTAATAGATCAATCGAAACTATCGTTGACAAAAGCCACTTCTAGTCAAATATTTCATTCTGCCCTGCTCAGATGAGCCATACATGAAAAGTCGTCCGATCAGGGGTCACTGTAGGGTGTGAGGTTCCTGGGGGCAGACGATTTGATTTATATGGCTCAAAGATTTGCGAACAAGAGCTTTATCACTAACTCTACATCAACAGCCAAGCAGTTGCAAGAAGCCAAAGGAAGCGTGGCTGGGTACCTAAAAAGAAGAATCAATGCGTGCTCATTCCAATTCAATCCTGCATGTTCTGAATATTCACATCTGAGATTCTGAATAGGGGTTCTATTGCTACACTTGGATGAATTATGCTATATCTGAAGTTTCAATCATTCCCCTCCGGATTACTCGCAGCCCAAAAAAGAGAACCGCGTCTATATAAACCTGTAACCGCCGCAGGAAATCACTGGCGGTAACTAATACAGATGCTCAGACGTCACTATTATGGAGCATGCAGACGTGCTTCACTGGTGTCATAGAATTATTTCTATAATATTAACGCATATTCGCGAACTGGGAACTTGACCATCATCGAGAAGCTGCTTCATAAACCATAGATTGGAGAAGGCGTTGCAATCTCTGTCGTAATAATCTACCACTGTTACTGCCGTTTCCGTTGCCATCCTCTACTGCTTATCACCATTCTTTCCTTTGAGTGCAATTGAAATTCTTCAGATGTTTCCAGTACGTAGTTTATTTCCTGATCTATCATCGAATCTATCAAAACAGGCCATATTCATAGATTTATACTCAGAAGATAAAGTGGCTACGACACCACACGTCCATTGGAAGGTACTGTTCAGAATTCAGAGTCTTGAAGGTCGGAATTGTTTAGTAGAAAATTAAATTTAATTATCTGTCAGAAAGCAAGCTTCCTATACTAACCTATTCATCTCACTTCAGAACATCGTTGGAACAGCATGAGTGAATTATTCGCTTATTCACGAACGCAAAGAAAACACTCCGAGATCAGCGACTCTAGGTTATATAAAGACGTTTCTCTCCAAAATGCCACAACCACTAACTTACAATATGGACGACATCGTTCCGTCAGGTTTGGGTTTCCATTGCATGCTTTGAAAATATAGCCCGTTTCGAACCTTTCCTTTTTCCTGTGATTTTCTTCATACTCCATAGTAGACATGGATCTGAAACCTTGTGTACTAGGAAGCCCATCATGGTTAGCAACTTGCTATCGTCACTTCTTTCCTGCTGTCATCTCTAACAATTCCATCTATCGCTATCATCATCCCACCTCTTCTCCTTTCAGTTCCAAACATGCCAAAATCCACATTTCCACCAACATCTGCTTCTCATTACACTTTCCAATACTCAGCATTTGTCGCTCATCATGTGAAGGCGTTTAAAGATACATCAAGAATCATTACAGCGGCAGGCTCCTCAAACCCACCCAACTTCGCCCCCCGGTCCTTGCAGATTTTAAATCTGCGTGCCATTCCGGTAGCTGCCTGGAGTGTGATTTATATAACCTTTTACAGCTGTGCTCAGCCTTGAGAAACATGGGACAATGATATTCAGTTTGAGCGAATCGGGGCTTTGATGGAACTATTGAGTACTCACCACAACCATTCAACCTACCATTGATTTCCTCACCAGCCTCCCATCCTCAGCCCGACCATTCACACATCCCCAATGCTTGTCAAAATACGTAGCCTCTCCACTTGGTCCTTGCTCAAAACCACTCAGTGTAGTCGATAGTTGAACGGCCGTTGAACGACGTCGTTTTCAGGTCTCTCAACGAACTGACGTTTTAGTACTATAAAACGAACTGCGGTTCGTTTTATAAGGCTATAAACGAACGGAACGAGGTCGTTGCCAAGAACGAACGAAGAAACTAGCCTTTTATAATCTATTTTTAAAAATATACCTAAATGTAGTATAAGTGTTAAATTATTATTATAATGTTATTCTTATATAAATTACGTACTAAAACATATAGAATAATACGTTCAGCTGCTTTATATACTATAGAGGGTAAGTTGCATTCCACTGACTAACCTACCTTAGGTACCTACTAAGTGATCTTGCTAAGGTTTCAAGCCTGAAAAAGGCTTAGTAGGAACTATACTAAAACGGGGTTAAACGACCCCGTTCCGTTGGAGATCTGACCAACCAACGGCCGTTCTAGATCGCTTAAACGAACGCCAGTCCGTTTAGGGTTAGCATAAAGGAACGGCCGTTCGTTCCCGTTTTGCCAAGAACGAGAAAACTATCGACCACGCTGAAACCACTACTCCAGCTAACCCCCACTCACACACATACATATATACACACGCACCCCGAGTATCGATTTTGGAAATCAGACCAAGCGCAGCAGCTATAATCGACGTCGAGGTTCTGGAAGCATTGTGTGCCATGGGGTCTTGTGGTCTCAACTCGAGCAGAGATAAAGGTAAAATTGTGAGCGTATTTTTCGAGTAATAGGTGGGTTCACAATAGATTAGTGATTAAATTTGGGATTTGAAAGACTTGGAGTGAAAGACGAAAGAGGGTGTCGTTGTCATCTACAGGTGTATCGTCATTGTCACTGCCAAGTACACTTTCATTCCATCTTTATCGTCATCCTCACCATCAACAATCAACTAAAGGAGGGCTTTTCCGTTTTCAAAACTTTTCAAAAATGTGTCCTCCGGTCTGCGAAGGGTAGTGGCCTATGAAAGATCGAACCCACCTTCGAACCCACCTTCGAACATCTCAGCGAGTCATTGATGAATTAAGAGAACAGGACAGGACAAACAGACATAAGGGTTTCCATGCGATTTGTTTCTGATCATGTCTGAGGAGGAGATGGAATAGGAAGAGGAGAGGTTTATTTATACTCTTCCCCCCTGCTTACCTCTTTTCTGAAGATTCAAGTCTAGAGGGAGAAATATAAACCACAGGAGACGTGGCTAGGAGTGAAAAACTAGGAAGTGAAGTAGTATTTCTACTCCTACTCCTGATATGAAGTGCTGTAAACCAGTGAATTTAAAAACAAGTAAAGAGCAATAACGCCTCGCTATGCTGTAACTGAATCCAACTCAACCTGATCCTCTACCTTACCAAACAGGCTCCACCCAACCATATTCTATCCCCCTCGAATCGCTACGGGTAAAATTTATATCCCCTGCACCTTCCGATAACTCGGTGGTTTGATAGCCCTTCTTATCAACTTCCCTGCATACGGCGGGATGAGAGAGATTGCTGAGATGGCTGCAACGCGCCAGATGAATCCACTGTTAGATGTAAATGTCAGTAAGAATTCACAAGTTGGCCGGAGAAGATGAGGTCAAAGAGTGGAAGGGAAAGTAAAAGGGGGAAACATACAGCGTAACAATAAACCCCAGATCAAAATACCCTCCCAAGAACGGTATACTACCCAAATACAACAGCAGCGTGCCCACAAGACTAACAATCATGATGGGATGCCACGTCGTGACCTCAAACGCCACCATAGTCAATTCATTGAGGATGAGTACCGTGAAGGACACGGAGACCATGCGCGGCCCATCGACTTCAGTGAGGATTTGGGAGAGGCCTTGGATCATGCCACCTTGGTAGATGGAAACTGCAACCCAGACGAAGAAGGTGCGGTATGAGAGGGACGAGCCAGTTGTCAACTCCTTGTAGAGTTCAGGGTATAAGTTTGCGAGGTTCTCATCAACGTCCTTGTCTAGCACGAGAGAGAACACTGGCGCCATCGTGTAAACTGTAGCGTATCCTACCAGCAGCCAGTCTTTATACAGGCCTTCGGGCTCGAATTTGATGGCGATGCTGTACATAGTTTGGGCGACGGAGATGATGAGTCCGCGGTGGATGACGAACTGGGCGAGCTTGGCGGAGCGTTTGTATGAGTTGCGACCATGCCAGACGAGGAGTTTGGTGAGGTGGCAGAACTGGGTGATGGAGAAGTCAGCGGCGAGGGAGGCTTGACGGCCTTCTTTGCCGACGATTCCGACGCCTACGTCGGCGGCTTGGATCATGGAGACGTCGTTGCCGCCGTCGCCGATGCAGCAGATGCGTTTCTTGGTGAAGTCGCGGATCAGGTGGGCGATGTCTGCTTTTTGGGTGGGGGAACAGCGGCAGGCGATTACGGCAGGGAGAAGGACGGCGAGGCTGATGAAGTCGTTGCGGAAGTGGGTTAGGAGGAGGGAGAGGGATTCGCCGTCGATGAGAAGGGCGGAGTCTTTCTTGCCGCGGAGGAAATCGAGGTGGTCTTGGGCGTTGTCTTTTCGTTTGAGCTTGGCGATTGTGTGGATATATTGACCTCTGGCGACGAGTTTGGCTGAAACGGCTACACAGCGTGCTGTTTCGACTTTGTCGCCAGTTAACATCCAAATCTTGATGCCAGCATTGCGGAGAAGTTCCAAAGACGGCTTGACATCTTTCTGTAGCTTGTCCTCGACGCCAGTAACTCCGAGAAGTTCGAGATCTCGTTCAAGGTAGTGGGATACTACACGAGCCATGCCTGCATCGCGACCATTAATTGCCACAGAGGCTTCTTTGAAGTTGGCCGCAAATTCCCGGTACTGCTGTACAGACAGACGTTTCCGGCCTACGACGAGGGTTCGAAGACCTTCTCGAGCCATATTACCAGTTTCCTCGTCAAGCCAGTCATTTGCAGCAACGATTGAAGTCATGACGGTATCTGCACCCTTCTGGTAGAACCAGATCTCGCCGGCATCAGGGCTAGTGACTCCCGGTTTCTCAGATCCATCCATAAACTGGACAATGATACCCATTCTCTTTCCGTCAGATGTGAAAGGGAAGACCTCCAGGATGCGGACTCGAACGACAGGTCTACCTGTATCGACCGACTGTAGAAGCATACCTTTTCGATCACGATGGATCAATCTAAGTCCAACCAGTTCCGTCCATTTCACGATGGCGATCTCATCCGGCGAAGACGCTTGGTAAGAGGTAAATGTATGACCATTCTCTTCCTCAACAGTGGGTGTGACATTATGGCAGATTGCCAAAGCTAAGACAACATCACGTACACGAGCTCCGATCTCTCGACGTGTTCGGGTAGCTGTGACTGTAGTAGACGCCATGAAGGTTGATGAAGGAGTAATAAGCATCGGCGGTTGATTGGGATCTGTTGAGGCAGGAACTGAAAAGCCTTGCTTGACATAGGCAGTAACTTCATCCATTGCTTCGTTGGCATATGAGACAGTTCCGACGTGAATCTTCTTCATCTCCATCTCATTCTGGGTCAGAGTTCCAGTCTTGTCACTAAGGAGATATTCGATTCGTCCTAATTCTTCTGGAATGGTGCTCGTTCTCACGACTGCTCCTGCAATTCCAGGATCCTTTTGGATGAACCACGAGTAAACACTCTTTCCCATGTCTAGATTGACCCGCAGACTGATGGGAACGATGGTCGAAAAGAGAACCAAGAATCTCATGATCTTAACATACCACGGGGCACGACCCTCGACATGCTCGAATCCCTCCAAAGCTACCAAGACAACGGATAATGTGAGTGTGAGAGCACAGAGGATCTTGGTCAAGGAGTTGATCTCGTATTCAAGCAAGCCAGTCTTGGAACGTGAAGCAGAGGTCGAAAGTGCGGATCTCGTCTGAGGTCCAGTGTAAACGATTACCGCCAAGGTCGTCGCATTCGAAGCGAGAACAGTGTTACACCAAGCGGTGTTGTCAATAGTCAATGGAGCCGAATTTGAAGTTGGCTCATCCACGGTGACCTCGTCGTTGAGCGGAGATCGCCGCGGAAGATATGGATCATACCCGTTGCGACCTTTGGGCAACAACTCCACTGTCCCAATAAACTCGTTCACTTTCTTGTCAGGTTTTCCCGCGACAACTCTGAGCCGAACGAATTCAGCCGGATCAAGAGCCTGAGTGAGCGGTGAACCCAATCGAAGCTTCCAATCCGTCTCACCATCAAGTTGGTCAGTTCGAATGAACGTCTCTCCCACACCTCCAGCATCAGCAGCAGGAGTGCTCCCCAGTTCCGCTGTTGATTCCCGAGCATCTGCGATGGTGACACTTGTTTCCTCAATTGGGGGATCGGATATAGGCTCAACCAGAAGTGATTCAGGTACTGGGGGCAAGTCGGCCTCCTCTTCTACAGCTACTGTTGATTCGTTTGTGAAGCTCTTTAGAATCACCACATCGGCTGGTACTCGTTGATCCTTGCCCAATTTCAACACATCACCAACTTTCAGATCTCGAGATTTTCGAATCACTTCTCGCACTTCCGAAGATGGCAATTGCCGCCTTCCTCCGCTTTCCGCACTCTCTTCCTCTTCTTGAATATCGGACAATCTGTCCGGCTCGACCAGCGAATTCTTCTTGAACTTGCCCTTTCCCTTCAATTTCTTTTTCGCATGATACCTGTCCTTATTTCCCACTCCCAGCTCATCAAAACACAACACCGTATAGCCCTCCGAATTAGCCTCCGTATCTCTCCTCCTCCGTCCAATATCGTCCCAAGCCTCCTTTCCCAATGTAATCGCTAAAACAAAGACCAACGGCACGATGTAGGTCGAGAGGTATCCAATCCGCAAAGGGGGAATCGCTTGCGAGAGCGCGACGAGCAAAAAGTACATGTTGAAGAAGAAAGAGAATTCGTTATACAAAGTTCGCGGCAAGAAACTGATAGGGGTATATTTCGCATTGGAGACGGCATTTGGAGGGAATCGCGAGGTTTGAGAGGTGCCAATATGGACTGTTCGGGACGAGGCCGGATCATGTTCCTCTTCCTGCTCCTCTTCATTTTCTGGCGCTGATTGAGATCCTGAAGTCGAGAGGAAACTGGGAAGTCGAATATGCGATCCTAGCTTGTTGAATGCCTCGATACTGGGCCGTCTTCGATGGCCGCTCCCTCCTGGTAGTAATGGCGCGTCATCTTCAGCACTGTTGAAGCTGCCCGCAGATAATCGATTTGCCCCATCCAGATCCGGTGTATCGTTCAACAGGCCATGGGCATCCTCATCTCTATCCCGCCCCAGATCTCCATATCCTCTATTGCGTTTGCCAAATCCTCGCAGCCCACTCATACGCAGATTCCGTAATGGTATATGACCTGTCCTCCTCTCTTCCTTTTGTGTGCGATCTCTGCGCGACGACGAGGGCCCCGAGGGACTAGATGTGGTGATAGGGTCAAGCTCCTGGATGTCGAGGTCGAGGTCAGAGTCCGAGTCATCCGCTGGTGATTTGGGGGCATTTGATTGATGGTATGCGCTCGACGACATGCCTCATTGATGCGGTGGACGAGTATGGGGGGTGATGGGTGAGGAGGAAGGAATGTCGCGTTCAAGGAGTCGAGATCAATATGTACAGATTGTCATCTGGTGTCCTTCACTGTAGCCTTGTCTTCCTCAGCCACTGACACGCGGACGTGGCTATTTTGGCTGAGAGATAGATCCTGGTCCGCCGTAGAAATGTTGCTGCCCCTTTTCATAGCCGAGGCGAGATGGCATTACTTATTATAAGTATATAATCACTTTCTATTGCTGAGAAGTTTAATGTAGAGTATTGTGCTCATCCAAGGACATTGCTGCCCTCTAATCATGCACAGCTTTGTAAAGTCCTCAATCTATTCCCTCAGCTTTCGTGTTTGTATTCAACCAGGTCTCCTTGTATCTGTGGTGAATCCTGGCTGCCGTAGCGCCTCATAGCTCGAAAGCTGGCCTCAACCGTCGCCTTGTCGCGAAAGTCCAATGGTCCTTGCATCCCGACCCGAACATCGCACTTACAATACTCTGCCCTGTCAGACACGGCAAGACCATGAAATCTTCTTCACTGTAGCAAATGGCTTCAGTTTCATCTCATATCACTATCTAATCTGATTGTTCTTTAGCGGATATCCTTGTATAAGTATGGCTGGCTCGGCCCCCTTTGTTTTCTGATGACGATGTGGTGGAAGGACAATGGAACGGACTTTGGGACAGCTGCTGACGGTTGGATTCAGTATTCAGTTCTTTTCCCCAAACACGTACCAGCGCCATGATGGCGGAGTCGGCACATGCATCCTGGCATCCAGCCTTTATGCCAAATTCAACACCACAAACAATTGCGACAGCAGCGCCCGAGGTCCCGTCGAGTCTGGTCCCAACATCCGAGCCTCCTTTTGAGTACAAGTCAGAGCCAACGCCCATCGCATCGAATCCAGTGGAGGTCGAAGCTGTAGAAGAGATACCTGCTGCCGAGGGACAAGTACCGCAAGATAACAATGATCATCCGGAGCTTGGGGATCTTCGTAATGCGCTTGCAACGTCTTTGGCAAGCCCGGGTGGAGTTGAGCTGGAAGAGAGCCCATGGCACAATGGCACTGAACAACAAAGTACGGAAGCTATCGACAAGGCCGATTTCCCCTCGGAAGGACCCCACCATGAGAATAAACATCTCAGTACGATGTCTTTTGCTCGGACTGTTTCAGAGGAGGTCAACTGGGGAGAGGACGACGATGTGGATCCGCAATGGAATACTCAACGAACTGATACAGACCCATTCAAGTTCATGGCCAAGTCAGACCGCACAAACTCGTTTCCCCAAGTTCCGCCTGCACATTCGGTGGAATCTGGCCATGATCAGACGCTTCCCCATAGCCAGGCTGAGGATATTCTCCACGAGGTTGAGCAGGAGGTATCAGAAGATCTATTTGGGGACGAAGAAAACGATCCAGAGGCCGGATTCTTCGCTCAAAAGTCGGGCCAGGAAGAGGGTCACCTGGACTTTTCACATGGCATGGATGATGATGAGCTGAGACTACCAGACTATGGACAGACGTATGGAGGAGATGTACGGCCCGAGCAGGACGAAGAGCTAGAAGCCCGATTTGAAGAAGGTCTTCCCTTGGTCCAAACACACGAGGATTCTACATATCAGCCTGAGCAATCAAATTCGAACGATCTATTTGCGGACGAGGCAGGCGAGGAGGACTTTTTTACCCAGGTCACCAAAGGAGGCGAGAGCCAGGAATTGGTACCTGAACCATACTTGGAGAGAAAATCCACCATGCATGTTATAGATTCGCTACATTACCAGCCACATGAGCAAATCCACGACAGTATACAAGAGGAAAATGCCATGGAAAGCTCCCAGAGTTCCCTGGAAAGATCTACTGGTGGGGGAATCGCTGCATCGCCCAGTACAGTTCTGTCGGCTGTCTTCGGCAACCCAGACTCTCCCGTGCATGAGCAAACAGATCTACATGCGAGTGAGGAAGATCTTGCCGCGAAATGGAAAGCAGCTTTGGCTGGTGATGAATTCCTTGCAGACGACGATGATGAACTTCTGCCAGATGATGATGAGCTGCTTCCAGACGATAATGAGCCCACGGAAAGTGCAGGTTTTGACCCCGCTACTGTGTTTGGCAGTGATGATGAAGGTTTTCTTGAGGACAATGACCAAAATGGCGAGAGCCTTTTCGGCCAGCAGACGAGCCCCCCGATACCCACGCCTGTTACAGGACCGAATAGTCATGTCGTGGGATTTGACATCCTTGGAGGCGCCCAAACGAAACGGCCGACCAGCAGTAGTAACAAGTATCTACCGCCCGGTGCGGTTGCAATGCCACCCGTGGCTCCTAAGAACGCATATGCACCTACTGCACCTTTGTTGACTGATCTCTCGAAATCGACATTGACACCCGCTGCAGTTTCCCCCTACATGTCGTCATCAATGGCGAGCTTTCAACCGCAGCCTCCGAGACCAGAGATGCCAAAAGCACAGAGCTTTGCAGACAAAGCTAAAGGTGGCTACGCCTCGCCTTACGACCTCCCAATGGATGTTGTAAAGCCGAGAAAGAGGGTCAGCATGCAGACTATGAATCGAACACACGCTTCAGCGGAAATGGCGCCTCCCAGGAGCAGTAGTATGCAAGCTCCTCCACCTCCCCCTAGGGCCGCTTCAGCAGGAATATCTCCACCTACAAGTAGTTACTCCCAACCCAGTCAAATGCAACCAGGCGCTCAGGCGCAACTGCCCAAGACTGTTCGAAAGACGCAAAGTGGATTTTTCGAGGAGTTGCCAATGTCCAAGCCAAAACTTGCGGTCAGACATTCGAGTGGTCTTCCATCTCCTTTACAAAGCCCTTATGGACAACCTGGTGTTCTACCCCCTCCTACAGGTCCACCTAGAAGTTCTTATGGCCCACCTCCCGTCCAACAGCTAGTCCAGCACCAGCCGGTTCAACCACAGCAGCCAGCCCAAGTGCAAGGCTTGGTTGCGCCTGAACGTGTAAGCCCATATGCGTCACTACCGAGTGGAAACATACCCGTACCAGCAGTGGCATCCAGATACTCTCCAGCGCCTCCACCTCTGCAGCACAGCCAGACTGCTCCTCCTCCAGTCGCTCAATCTCGATACTCGCCTGCACCTTCTATCCAGAAACCGGCTACAGAATCATATACAGCAGCTCCTGTAAATGCACAACCACCACAATCAGCACCGATTCTTCCCCATCAACCTCGAACTTCGAGTCCTCTAGCCCATTTCGAAAGAAGTCACGAACTTCGATCGCATGGCTCGTTCTCCGAATCGGGTAGTTTTGATCGCCGAACAAGTTCTTCTGGCTATGAGTCTGGTTTAAGGAATCAGCATTTGCCGCCAACTAGAGAAGTTGAGGAGGAAGGTCAGATTTCTCCAACCTCAACACGGAATTACGGCGAACTGCAGAGCCAATATAACCCATCGCCACACCTTTCGCTGGCCCACCGGCCATCACAGACACCGCCTCCTCAGAATCTTGCATCTAGACTAGTGAGCTCTCCACCAAAACGATCTACTACGAATTACATGCCTCAGCAATCTTCCCATGGTCAACCTCAGCCGTTTGTGCCACCTCAAAGATCACAAACCCAGTCTCCCGGAACTGCTTTTGCTGGCCCGCGCCTGGAAATGAGCAGCTCGGTCCCATATCAGCGTCCAGCATCTGTAGAATTACCCGCATCACCAAGAGTCAATAACAGCTATCAGTCAGTGCCAGCGTCATCCTCACAAGGACGAACCAGAGGATTCTCACAAGGGCTCAACTACGTCGCACCAACTGACGGCCGAGAGATTGATCCATTGCAGAGATGGAGAGGTGCTCCTGTCTTTGCATGGGGCGTAGGTGGTTCAATAATGACTTCATTTCCACAGGATATACCTCGTTATGGTATGAACTCCCAGGCTATGATTATTCGAAGTCCTGGCACTGTGAAGATTCGGAATATCAAGGACCTCGATCCCCTTCAAGAGCGCCTCGCGAGTTTCCCTGGCCCGTTGAAAGGCAAGTCTAAGAAGAAGGAAGTCTCGACATGGCTTGCATCTGGAATTGAGATATTGGAGCAGAACGCAAGTTATCTTCGAACAGTCTCGAGTTTGTCGCATGAAGACAAACGTGTAGAAGAGCGGATTCTGCTATGGAAAATTCTTCAAGTATTCATTGAAAACGATGGAGTTTTGGAAGGAACATCTGTGGTTGACAAAGCCGTTCGCGCTGTCCTCTCACCCGGTATTGATGATGATGAAAGCTCCTCTGCGCCACTTTATGCGACTGGCGCAGACCTATCCGGAATCTCACACTCGTCCAACTCGACAACGAGAGCCGACCCAGTGGATCCTGCAGCTGTAGATCAATTGCGAAAGCATTTGCTCCGTGGTGAGCGAGAGAAGGCAGTTTGGGATGCAGTTGATAAAAGACTCTGGGCCCACGCCATGCTCATCTCGAATACGGTATCAAAGGAACTGTACAAACAAGTTGCCCAAGAGTTCATCCAGAAAGAAGTCAAGATCATAGGCGACAACGTTGAACCACTTGCAGCTCTTTACGAGATCTTTGCAGGCAACTTTGAAGAGAGCATCGATGAGCTTGTGCCTCCGTCTGCAAGAGCTGGTTTCCAGATGGTCAGCACATCAAATGGTACTGGCCCCTCAAAAGACGCCCTTGATGGTCTGGACAGATGGCGGGAGACACTTGGGCTTGTCCTCAGCAACCGCAGCATCGATGACAGCAAAGCGCTCAATGCTCTGGGTAAGCTACTGTCTGGGTATGGCAGAGCCGAGGCAGCTCATATCTGCTTCTTGTTTGCAAGAAGTTTGTCAATCTTTGGTGGGGTTGATGACCCTCAAGCAAGCATAGTGCTTGTTGGTTCAGACCAGTTGAGACAACCGTATGATTTTGACAGAGAGCTGGAGCCAGTTCTGCTGAGTGAAGTCTTCGAGTATGGAATGTCTCTATCAAGTACCTCGACAATTGCGATTTCCAGCCCACATCTTGCGATCTACAAGCTGCAGCACGCGAAAATTCTGGCAGAATACGGGTTCAGAGATAAAGCTCTGCAGTACTGCGAGGCGATCGCAGCTTCCATCACGTCCCAGACAAGACGGTCACCATATCACCATGGTTTACTAGTGTCTGAGCTTGAGGACCTGAGCAAACGATTGAAACAGTCGCCCAAAGATGAGAACTCGTCATGGATCTCAAAGCCCAGCATTGATAAGGCAAAAGGTTCCGTATGGGCAACCTTCAACAAGTTCGTTGCGGGTGACGAGGCCGACGCAGCTTCTGCCGCTTCAGTTGGAGGTGCAGCTGATATTGGGCCATTCTCAAGAATTGCTGGCGGAACCCCGACGATTAGCCGATCGCCATCCAATGCTGATCTTTACGGTTCATACCCAGGAGGTTCTGGCATTAATGGCAGCGCACCTGTTCCAATTACCAAGGCAAGTTCCAGGTATGCTCCTGGGGCATCGTCGTACGGCAATCAAGATGGCCAGACTGGAACATCGTATGGATCACAGCCAAGACAGTCGCTTGATGAGAGATCCTCCAGCGAGTACAAGCGATATGAGCCGCAGAGACAGATGTCCGATTATCGACCAAATAGTCAGCCCGCACCCGCCAACAGCTACACGCCCCAAACAGGGTCCAGCTTCACTCCTCAATCAGCATATACTCCCTTCGGCAACTCCTCGCCATATGAATCTGCTTCCGGGCATACTCCACAGACACCAGTTACCGAGCAGCCTCCGGCAAACCTGTACGCATCACCGCAGGCTGTCAATTCTTTTGATGGACATCGGCCCTCATACGCACCCTCTGAGCCTTCTTATCAGCAGCCTACGTCAAGTTTTGATTCTCCGCTCTCGAATAGCTACGACCCACCTGCAACATCCGCGTACGAACCTCCTGCTACAAGTAGCTACGATCCTTCAGCTACTTCTGGTTACGAACCTCCTGCTTCAAGTAGCTATCAGGATCCTTCCAACGACGAGCCTCAGTCCAGCGGGTACCAGCCTTATTCTGGTGGTTACGAACCCCCATCCAGCGGATATGTCCCATATGAGCCGAATGATGAGCCAGATTCACCAGTCGAACCTCGTCCCAAGAAGAAGTCCTTCATGGATGACGATGATGATGACATCCCTGGCCTCAAAGCCGCCCCTGCCTCCACACCTCGTGAAAAGACTAAGGCAGAGAAAGACAAAGAAGCTGATGAGGCGTTCCGGAAAGCAGCTGAAGCAGATGGTAAGCCTTCTTATCCTATTCCGCTCCTCTCTCACAGGTATACTAACACCATCCCCGCAGCTCAAAAAGCGAAAGAAGCTGCTCCCGCAAAGAAAGGCTGGGGTCTCGGTGGCTGGTTTGGTGGCGCAAAGAAAGAATCCCAGGACATGGGTGCCAACCCCAACAAGCCCATTCGCGCCAAATTAGGTGAAGCGTCCTCCTTCTACTACGACCCGGAGCTCAAGCGTTGGGTCAACAAGAAGGCCGGCGCAGAAGACACACAAGCTAAGAGTGCTACACCACCTCCTCCAAGAGCTGCTGGTCCACCTCGAACAGCCAGCGCACCTGTCAATATGGGTCCGCCAACAGGTAACGGTGCAGCTGGCGGTCCACCAGCAAGTGTACCCCGCCCAATCCCTACACCTGGCAACATGGGTCCCGGCATGGGGCCACAAATGGTGGCCCAGCGTGCTGTAAGCGATAATACCCATTCACCACACCATCTCGTTTCCTCCTCACCACAGAGTGACGACGGGAGCGTGAATCTCAATGCGCCGCCGCTCATAAACAGGAGTCAGTCGAATGGTAGTCTGAGGAGTAGTGGGCCGCCGAGTCGCCCTGGCACGGGTATGAGTAATGCGAGCAGTATTGATGATTTGCTGGGACCGCCGGTGCCGAGGAGTCGGAAGGATGGAGCCGGTGGTGCGGCGAAGAAGGGTGCGAAGAAGAAGGGGCGCGGGTATGTTGATGTTATGGGGGATAAGGGCGCGTGAGGTGCCTGTGCTGGAGAGTAATGAGGTTTTTGGGTGCTTTGAATGTGGGAGGGTGAGGAGAATGAGTGTAATATAGATTCCCATGTGGTCTGTTTTGGTCTGGCTGTTCGTTATACCACAGGCTGGATTCCATCTAGATGATCGTCGCGTGCATGGACTGCTGGTTGAGCCGGTTCCTTGGTTGGCTGGAGGGTAGTACATCGTTGTAATTTGTGTATCATATGATAATCTTTTCTACCTCTAAGGTACCTTCTACTGTGCCATTACTTCTATGTCTCTTCTTCCTGTATTGTTTATCTGCTGAGTGTAGTATCGGACCACAGTGCTTGAATGGAGCATGATTCAACATATTTCAAAGCTCACTCCTTTCACTCATCTCAAGTCGATGGTTGAACATGCTTGCAACCTGACGCTTGAAATTCTCCTTCTCACTACCAACTACAAAGTTCGATAACCCACTCGCCCATTGACTCCTGCACCATAACCTCCGTAGCCCATGCCCATCCCTCCGCCAAAGCCACCGAGCCCTCCGAGTCCTCCTCCGTACCGGCTGTACCCTCCCATTCCTCCATACCCTCCATACCCTCCAAACTGACTCATCCCACCCATTCCTCCATAACCTCCATAGCCACCCATCCCCATCCCTCCCAGCTGACTCATCCCTCCCATCCCTCCATAGCCTCCATAACCACCCATGCCCCCAAACTGGCTCATTCCTCCCATCCCTCCATAGCCTCCATACCCACCCATCCCCATCCCTCCCATCCCTCCATATCCCCCAAACCCACCCATAGACCTTCTCCCTCCAAATCCCCCCACACTCCCACGCCCCAGATTCGACCCCGGCGCCCCATGCGCAGAAGCGTGGTTCATCCACGCATTAATACTATGTCCTTGCGCAGGGGTATTATGCAGATGTTGGTAGATACCTCCTCCTCCCATGGTGCCCCTCCCACCGCCGAATGCAGGGCGTGGTCGCTGCCCGAATGAGAAGCTGGCGTGGATGCGGCCGTGGAGGGCGGGGTGGCGGTTGAAGTGGGCGCCGAGGCGGAGGCGCATTTGTTTGGTGGGAGGGTTTATCGGGGATTTATGGGGCTTTTGCGTGGTGAGGAAGGGTTTGGATTTGGACTTTGGGACTTAGGTTTTATGGTTGACGGGGGTGTAATATTGTGTATGGACTTGTGTGTAGATGTTGATGTTTGGTGATATTACTTGGGAGGATGGTAGAGACAGCGGTAATGAATGAGAAGGAGCTAGATTTGTAATGGAGATATTTATGTCTGGTTATGGTTCTAAATGTACAGTGGCTAACTTAGGAGGCTACACACACAGTTTACATTGCGATAGAAGGAGAGTGACTGATATGAGAGGGGGGAAGGTGATTAATGATAGCGCGGACGCACAGACATGGGCGGAATTAAGCGAGTAAAGTAAACAAAACCAGTCAGCTTCGAGGGAGAGTGTGGCAGGGACAAAGCTTGGTCATAGTGATCAATACAATCACTACAGTGATTGCTGTTTCAGGTTTGATAGTGATTGATTCGTCTTTTTGGCGTCTCTGAGAGATCCGGTTGAAGTTAGAGAGGAGATATGTGAGGAAAGAATCTGAAGTCAGTTTATAGACAAAGTCATGGGCGATATTGAGTTAATTTAAGAGTCCCTTACTTAACGAAACAGCATAGACTGTATGCCCAATATTGTCGACTATTAGAAGCATAATGAACGGTATTCACGTTTCTGTCTGGTTGACTTAATCTAGCTAATCACAGGGAGGGAGGATCGTCACGTGAGTGGTGGCGCAGCCATCTCCAACATTTCTCCTTCAAGTGCAGAGAAACGCTCCAGCTGCTACTTATATGCTTCGTTATCATCATGACGACAACTCATTAATATTAAGGTTGTCACATAGTTCCTTTGGCCAGATGGTCATCCTCGTACACCGGATTTTATCTTGACTACAGCTTTCGGTGCTCCTGCGAGTGATTGACCAATTGCAGATTGCAGGACATTTCCTCTTTGCTGCCGTGAGCACTCCCAGACTCCGTTGACTTCTCCGAGGCTTTTCCTTCCCCCTCCATCTTTGCCAAGTTATCAGCTTCTGCTTTCTTGATGATATTAGTCCAGCCCATTCCGAAAGCGAATAGCAACCCAAAAGCAGCGGACGCAGCTCCAAGGTACATCTTGCGCTCAATGGCCTTGCTGTAGGCCAAGATAACAGCTTTTTGCGTCGTTTCAGGCTGCACTTGTTTGACGCCCAATGCACCCAGATTGATGATTAATTCGGGTTCGACTTCGGGGGCGAGGACATGAAGGTAGTGTCTCAATGCGCTAGTAAACACATTTTTATCCAGAGACAAGAATAATGCCCCGCCGAGGTATTGTGCAAAAACCACAAGGGCGTTGACAACCGAAATTTCTTCCTTCGAAGCGTGATTCTGGACAGCAATAATCGGGGTCTGGAATCCAAGGCCTCGCCCAGCGCTCATGATGATTTGGAACCCAATCCAAACTCCGATGCTTGTATTAGGATTGAACATTGAACAGAGTCCAGTGCCAATGGCTGCTAGAATCGAACCAGAAATGGCCCAAGGTGTGTAATATCCAAGTTTCTCCGCTGACGAAGCAATTAGCGCCAAATACTTGTTTGAGACAGGAACTGCAACTTACTTAGTCCACCAGCAACAATGCTGAATATTGAAGTGGCAATGATAGAAGGTAGAAGATCTATACCACTCATCGTTGGTGACGCATTGCGTACCGTCTGGAAATACAACGGCAGGTAGAAAATCGCTGTTAGGGCTGAACCAATGAAGAATAGCATGTACAAGCAACTACTCCAAATGACACGCCTGCGTATGATGTGAAGAGGTATCATGGCCTCAGCACCGACGTGATGTTCCCACACGACAAAGACGATGAGTGTAGCACCGAAGCCAACGAAGAGTCCAATGATTGTGGCGCTGCTCCAAGCATACTTTGTTCCACCCCATTCGAGCGCGAAGATGAGCATCATGGTTGCTGGCGCGAAGATAAAGAATCCGACCAAGTCTAGAGTGAGTAGTCGTTGGATGATCGTTTTCTCGTGGCGGCGGTTTTCTTCTCCCCTGGGAAATGGATGATGGTAAGGAGGAAGGCTGTTAGGCCACCGGAAGGGATGTTAATGTAAAAGCCTGGGGGTTTTCATTTAGCGGTTTTCTTTTTTTCGCAACATGCAAAAGGGAGGAGTATCGTCAAGACTCACACCATCTCCAAGAAGCGAACTCAGTCAAAAGGCCCCCCAGGAGAGGGCCCGACAGAATTCCTAAGAGGGAAAGCCCGATGATGATTCCGAGTAGTCCTACAAGACGATCCATTAGCTCGACCCCGAGATATGTGACCAGTGATGACTAACGAGGTTGTTTTTCGATTGGCGCAATCCCATGAATGATACCGTAAGCTCCGTTGAGAAGACCAGAGCCCCCGATGCCGGCTACGGCTCGCCCGATTATCAACATTTCGGCAGATTGGGCGGCGCCAGAAAGAGCGGAACCGAGTTCGAAAATGAAGAAGAACGTCAAGAAACTTTTCTATAATAGCAATCAGTTAGCTCATAGGCCTCGGAAGAGTGATTGTGAGAAATAATCGTACCTTGATATTGAATTCACCGTATATTTTCCCCGATAGCGGTTGAAGTGCACAGTTCGTGAGAAGATAGGATGTTCCGTACCATCCAACATCGTCCAGCTGCCAGAAATGTTAGTAACATTCTAAAATTATGTCTTCATTTCAAACGTCTGATCTGGCAGCCTGCTGAAGACTTTCAAGAAGCAGACATCAAAACATGCGTAGCAGAGTTCCAGCGTGGCTGCCATGCTGCTGAAGTGAAGGCACAGGATTGGCATTTTCATATATCCAGAGAGAAGATGTCAACATCTCCAAGGAGATGCAATTGGAAAAGATGCAGGTAGGTCTTACCGATCCGAAGTCAGTGGTGATTTGGGGTATGGCCTGGATGTATCAGAAGACATTAGTATTTCTCAACTAAAATTGAAAAAGGCAGTTGAGAACAGACTGTAGAAATAATGGACTCATCCAGCATGAGCAGAAAGCCTGCGAACGTCAAGCATGCGACAAGCACCCATAATTTGTAGCCCTCCAAATATCCATCTTCAGGTTTCTTCTCTTCGGTCTCGATGGGCGTCGAGATCCCCCCCTCGTCGACCGTTTCGCGTGCCTTTTCTTCGGAAGAAATCATCTCTGTCGATCGAATTGGTTGATTTACTGATGCAGCGAAGTCTGCGTAGCTGTATTATAAACTTACTTTTGAGTCAACATATTAAAGGCAGGCGGATGACTTTCACTCCGTTCGTGCCACTGACCAACAGGATCGGAGTCGGAGGAGCCGGGGCTTGTTGTCCCAGACCTCCGTACCAGCGCCCGTAAATGCCAAGGTAGCAACAACACGGAATGAGACGATTTCATGCATAAGCTAAGGTCCGTGTGGCATGCATTCCTATCTTGAGACTACCACAACTGCCTAGAGAGGGCACATTCGGGGAAATCTCACCGAGCCAGCCATCCTCCTGCCAAGCTACCCGTTCGCTCCTACCTCAGCCAAAAGTGTTTTTTGAATGCCTAATGCAGTAATTTCATTTCCTTGGTAGGCCATTAATGATTGAGGTTGTTTCAAAAGGCAAGTCCTCACATCTGCGTAGGATTACCAATAATGGGAGCATGCAGCCTCCGAAGAGGGTGTCGTTGTCGATGGATGAGTGGAAGTACATGTGCTCGACGCAGCGAACTAGATGCTGCATGTTCAATACTTCTTTGAATTCATCCACTGTGGGCAATTGAGCTTTTCCGCTGAGTGCGTATATGGATGGGAATTCAGGTGGTGGCAGGTTGGCCTGGCTGGCTTTTAGGACGAGTGCTGTTGCGCGGACCTGGGGTTTGGTTTAGTGCTTTCTACGTCCTGGAATTTGGGGATGACTTACGGCCATCAATGCGATATCAAAGGATCTGATATTGGATGTGATGCCTAACCTCCATACAATTACTGAGGAGTTGGTCTGCCAGACCGAGTGGAGTTTCTTGCATGATGCAGCGAGTGCCAGGACTAATGAAATGTCATCGCATGCTGAAAATATTTGAGTAGTGACCTCAACCGGGAGGTTGATCAATTCTCGCATGGTGGATGGTTAGAGATAGAGAACTTGAAGGGGATTCAGATAAATATTAATAGACGGAGATGTCAGGCTCCAGTCCCCTCTTAGGTAGGGTGGATGCTGGCGCTTCTTTGGGATTTAACCGATGTGCGATTGAGGCGAAGCCGAGGCACTACCTGGACATCTTTCAGGCGACTTCACAGTATTTTAGTAGTTGATTTTTAATAGTTTTATATCGTATTGGGTTGCCTATCATGAGAGTCATTAAATGTAGCTGGATTGGAAGGAAAACGTGACTTGAAGTGAATGGGGGTGGGGGTTGGGGGTAATGGGGGTCTTACATGACGAGAGATTGGCGGGGTGTTTTTGGTGCCGGGAGATCTTCAAATTAGAGAAATGTGGCGTCCAAGACGCCCGGACTTCTCATGGAACAATCGTACCCTCTTCCCCATCTTATCTTCAGGGAAAGCCAGCTGTCAAAAAGACCAATGAACACGATCGCGTGACTGCGCCTCTAGGGTACCTTTATGTGGAGAGAGAAAATGCAGATAGCGGGGTTTGAAAGGAGAATTCCGAGATCATCTTCGGCGGAGGTGATGATAATGGACGGGAAGTCCTATTCGAGCTTGGACGTGAATCCACCTTTTCCCGTAGTAAAGTCACAGGGCAGACATTCTTCTTTTGAATTGACTAACAACACTCCTGTAGACACGGTGAGCCTCAGTCGACTATTCACAACGATACTCATTACTCCTCCTTTGCCTTTGCCCGACCGATACACTTGAAACTTATGACACGCTCCGCGTCACCCACTCTCCACTGCCTAATGATTCTATCCCGATCTTTCTACTTTCATTCAACAAGCGATGCCTCAAGTCTTCTTTGGGATCTGGTCCTTCACGCATCACTATCCCACGATTTTGCCCTCCTCGAAACTGGACAGCCGAAGTTGTTGCTGTCGCAGTATTTATCTTCAACGACTTGTCGGTTCGCCGACCTGGAATTTCAGCATCGCCGGATCCTTCTACCTCTCCTTCTCCTTCCCCCTCTTTTCTTTCTCCATCCGCAAACGCCGCTGACACCAACCCCTCCACCCCCAATCCACTCATCACCGCCGTCACACGCGGCGAGTCCTTGACGACCGCCCAGACAGCCAGCACCGCTCCCAACAACGCAAAAAGCATATTCAGAGCCACGAGTGCGAGCAGAGGGCCCCGAGCGACACGAGTGACGAGCGAACTGACGACGAACCTCTCAGCGATGTTTGGCCTTGCCGAATGCACGGAGGCGAGAATAGAAAGCGCCTCCTGACTGTACGACCGCGACCAAGCTCGTGCGAGTTTGGCTGCGGTAGGCTCAGCAATTGCGATATCGATGCCTTGCGCGACGTGAGACAGTGAGCCCGCGGCGCCCATGACGCTGTTGAAGTACCAGGCTAAGGTGCCGTTGGCGGGGGTGGCGGCGTCGATGGTCACGACGCTGTTGTTGAAGAATGTGTATGCCACGTTGACGGTGAGCACTTCGCAGCCGAGAACGAAGGCCAGGCCGCCGTGTACTGGAAGGGTGATATCCGGGTCGTTCTCTAGAATGTTGACATTGGTGCCGAATGCGGCACGGGCTGCGATGCCCATGTAGAAGGGATTAATGGTGATGGGGCCGGTGGCTGGGTAAGTGTCATCTAAACTGTAATTCGTATAGGGTTGGCTGAAGTTGGCGTCCTGGAATGTGGCGCCAAAGAGGAAGTTTCCAGTTGAGTAGTCGCTCCAGAGTGTTGAGGTTGTGTTTACCTGGGGGATTTGGAGGTCCCCGAAGAAGATGTCGCTACAGTTGAACGGAGTGCTGGCGCCATAGGGGGCCTTGAGGCTGCATTGTTGACTTACGGGCGTACAGCTCGTGGCAACACCGACTGTACTTGCCTGGTAGCTCAAATTGTTCGGAACAGAGGTAAGGGGCGGTCCAAGAAGCAACAGATCGGTCGGCTTGCCCGCCACCTCGTAGATGCTGCTGAAGATCTGGTGAGAGGTGGATATATTGTTGAGAGTTGCCGAAACTTCAGAAGCGTCATAAAAGCCTTCTCCAGTCGCTGCAACATTGTATGTGCACGGCGCACTCGGAACTGCTCGGATTATCGAAGGGTCTCCCGTACAAATTCCAACCAATCCTTGACTGAAGGAGGAGAGGGAGCCCGAGTTTTCAAAAGTCCGAATGTATGGAACACTCTGATTGAAGTTAGCTACGTATAACAATTCCATTGCACCAGCTTCAGGATGTTCCATACCTCCGTCGTGAAGTGAAGAACCGCGTCGATAGCAAAGATCGCGAAGCTGTTGTGCCATGTCGTGAGTTTACATGATTCTAGACGTAGCGAGACTTTTCAAGGCAACTTACGCAATCATCTGTCCGATCAGAAGGATCAGGAACATAGTGCCAACCATCGGCACCGTTTTAGGCGTAGAACGACCGCTGAAAGAATACTTGATGAATTTCCAGCCCTCTGACATACTTGCCCACGACAGACCGATCAGCATAGAAAACTATAGATTCATGAGCAAAAGACCCCGCAGCAGCAAGTCCACGTATCATGTCATATACCTGATATTGAGTTGGCAAGCTCGACTTTTTGTTCTTAAAAGAACGTTCCACCAGCTTTGCTGTCACGGGGAAGAGCCATAGTGCCGTTGCGAGGCTTACTGCCCGCGGTGCGAGACTATTGCTCCACGACGAAATGAAGATCAATTTAGTAGCGGGGAAGTCGACGAGGTAGTATCCTCCTGGGAGGTCTTTCGAGCGCCCGCTAATCAGATTTGGTAGCGAAAAGTCTGATGCCTGATTGTCGACGAGGTTGCGAAATACAAGATACAGCAGGACAACTGAGAAGGCGACGAATGGTACGAAGATAGCGGTACCAAGAATCATAATGCTGCCTGTGCTCCTGGAGCCTTTCGCCTTAGCATTTGTGGACTGATGCCCTGCTAGACCAGTGGTCGAGAGTTTCTCCTCGGAAGGAGGATCGGAAGGCGGTGCAGTCGCTTGATAAGAGGGCGATGTGTGTATAGCCATCCTTTGACTGTTGGTTGTAATTGGATTTGGATGCAAGTGGTAGAGACAAAGAGAGAAATAATGAACAGTGCAATCAATGTCGAGATTTTGTTGACCTCATAGTCTTGAGACCGCACGTCAACTCTCTTTCGGGGTTCGGATGTCATATAGTCTCTTACTGCAGCTGAGGTTTGCCGACCATACCATACTTTGACATGGGAGGTTATCCCGTTCTCTCCAGGCGCTTCAGAAGCTGCATTAATCCCATTCCCCCGCAACCGAGACATTGGCTGCTAAACCCTAAACAAGCATTTGATGCTTGAAAATTGGTGAGAGGATCCGCCACCCTCGTGTCGTGGATCAGGCTTCATTCTGGGCTCTTCAGAATCCAGCCACGTTCGGTCGGTTGCGAAAGCTGAGTGCGGCAAGGGATGTGAGATGGTACCGTGGGTTGGGGTAACCTGAGTTACAGTACAGGAACTTTATGTCAGTCAAGCTTTTCCAAGAAGCGGTTGCTGGTCGCTTACAGCAATATCAGTAACTAGTATCAATTTTTGCGGGGCCAGCCCTCGCGATTTTCTGGCCCTCACCTAACTCTGGAAAACGCCTCGAATTATTACACCTCAACAACACCTCTATATTAGAAGCTATAAACGCGGACTTAGTAATAACCTGTTCAATTTTATTTCTCTTAAAGCATTTTGTATGTAGTATTTTATTTATAAAGTTAGAAGAGGGGGTCGAAAACACAGGATTTGAGGCTCTGCTTACTAAGCCTTCAGCTTCAAACTGCTAAGACTTCTTGAGAAATCTCGATTTTAGTAGATCGATGATTTCTTAATATATAACACGCTGCACCCTATAGAAAATAGATATAATTACAAGATTAATATTAACCTTTATAAATATCTAATTTTCAAGTAATCTTAAGTTGCCTCAGGGAAGTTGGAGGTGGGTCGGAAAGGCAGATTCCACACTTTTTGTGAGGGTCGCTTAGAATCCAGATTAATACTAGTTACTGATATTGCTGTAAGCTGTTGCAGCTGAAAACATTGGCTGCTCTAGACCTGGCTGGTGCCAAGCCACCCACTAAGGCAGTCAGTCGACTGACACACCTCGAAACGAAGGATGAGATGGTGCTTCCCTATGGCCCAGGAGAAAGACGATCCGATGCTGTACCTGGATATTCGTCTTTGACCATTCTCATTCTCATTCACATTCTCGTGGAGCAAATAACGCTTCAGACCTAGTGGCATATATATGCCGAAGGGTGAGTTCACAGAGCGAGCGTGGGTTGGAGCTGCTACTTGTAATATATCGTGCAAGAGACAAGATACACTGGGCGCGGCGCTGTGCATCTGTATTTTCTAACAGCACAATCTGGACCTCCTCACTCTTTGGCTAATATATTCTGATCTAATCCAATCTATCTACAATATAGACACGAATATCAACAATGTTGACAAATATCCCTGGGACATCACGTTCCCCTGATAATAACATGTCTTTCTAATGAAGCCCCATATCCAAATTATCCCACCTCTAATACCACCAACTGTCCCACTAATCTCACGAATCCTGACGTCGCCGCTTGTTTCCAGAAGACTCATCTCTGTTTGCGCGGCGGAGCTCACATTCCTCTCTCATCAACTGGCCAATATCATCCTATACACTTTAAGCACCATTCAGGACGTAGTAGAAGAGCTTTTGAACATACCTCTTCCACTGGACGCTTGCGTCGCTGCGGACCCGGATGGAACGCACTTCGATGCGCATCGTAGTAGTCTGTGATCCTATCTATATGCCGAGCATTTGCACAGTCTCTAGCATATTGTCGCAGACCCCCAAGGGCAGCATCTCTAATGGTGATGATAGCAGAATTGTCGTGGCTATGACTGGAGCTAATATCGACGGTGACGACGACTTCACCTCCAGGTTGGCGACGCTCGTAGTAGAGAAGCAGCCCTGGGAAGTTGTTCCGGAACTGATTAAAGTAACTTCCTTTAGGGCCGCATATTGACGGATAGGCCCCACTCAAGAGCTCAACGCTTTGAGGGGTTGGATCTTGAGAGAGCTGATGGCTAGTAGTATATGGCTGATGTGCTCTGTCTCGAGAGTCGTTACTCGGCTGTAAAGTTGCTGATTGATTTGTTGCTGATAATTGCTGCTTAGACGAACGGGGTCGCCATATAAGTCTATCCGATCCTGAAGATTCCAGTGCAGATTCGACGCGTGAATCGCGTCGTAATGATGCACCAACTGGAAGGGGCCCACTGGCTGATGGAGTACGTGCTGATGATATAGATGCACCACTCGGACGAGGTCGATTTGCTAATGATCTTGCTGAGAACGAACGTGGACCTTTTGGAGGCGGTCGAGGTGCTGATGGAGGAGGGGTATAAGTTTCCCTAGCTGATGTCCCTGATCGAGCCCAGGAGGCTGATGAGTTTCGCGCTGATAGTGAAGAGCGACCAGCTGGAGTATGCCAAGTCGCTGATGGAGTGTGTGCTGATAGGGAAGATGAACCGTTTTCAAGACGTGGTGTTTCTGCTGCTGATGAAGGCCCAGAAGCCTCACGAGGTGATATCTCCGACCGAGGCCGGAAAGCTAAATCGGTCTTTGCTGATGGTGCAGATGGACGAGGAGGAGGTGGTCGATTTACTGCTGATGATAATAATGGTGAAGGCCTAGAAGTCTCTCCTTCCAATTCCGATCGAGCCAGAGTGGCTAATGGAGCTTCGTACCCCGCAAGTCGAAGCAACAGTTCCTCATCATCAGTCCCTAATAACGGTTAGCAAGGTGCTGTCGGCTTCAAAGCCTACCACAGTGAACTTACAGAAGTTCCGGAATGTCCTAATCTCCGCAAGCCACTCCTTCATGCTGGGATCTGCTAATGGGTATTCGTCCTCGATTGTGATGAGGTGCTGCAAATGCGCTGACCGGATGTCGAGCTTGCTGATGGAGGTGGCTACTAGGGATTAGTGATATATTCACGAATGACTAGACAGCTCTAAGATAGACAGTTCTGGTACACTGCAAAATTCGATGATCTCGGAGGAGAGAAGGTGAAGTCAAAAGATAACAAGTGGCAATGTCACAAACCTGCTAATCTTTGTGGATTTGTGGCTGGGATGGTACCAGCCCTGGAGAGAATCCAGCCTAATTGAGACGTGTATGTGAATGGCATGTTGAGATAATGTTCAAAATCTCTTGAGTTTCTTGGTGTATGTTGTAGAAAGGAGGGAAGGGTTCTGTTGTGAAGTTTCTTGTGTCGTGGTTGCGCTAAACTCGCGCTAGTTCAGATTAGGCTCAATATCAATAACCTCAAAAAACACTTCTGAGCTCCAAACAGAAAATATGGACCGATTTCAGGCACCAAACACCGACGAACATGGTTATACATTTTCTTAGTCTTCGGTAGAAGTTTCACAGCTGTCATTGGGGATGACAAGTGAGGGAAAAGCAGTATGGCCGTCATGTACACGAGTCGGTGGTTTCATTCTCAATTCCATGCTGCATGTCTAGAATCTACGAAGAATATCCTCAATCAAGACCACCTGTGTAATTAATCTTCGTCATCTCAATTAACCCAGCAGTAACACCATCAACGCGAACCCAACCTGTGCATGACACAATAACATCGCCAAAGTCCATGCCAAGAATCTCCCCTCACTCAAAAATATTCACACTCTTCCCAACAATCTTACGCTCAAATGTATCAGAAACAACAACCTGCTTATACGTCTCCTTGATGACGGGCGTAGCAGCCATGGTGTTTGTGACTAGACCAAGAGTAGTTGGGGTTACATACGCAGCTGCAGCTTCGCGATCTTCTTCCACAGCTTGAGCAGGGAAGTTGGCCCATGCCTTGAGAGCTGCTGCCTTCTTTGCATCCTGCTCGATATTTGTCATTTTTGTCAAAGTCCATGGGATGTTTGTTGCTGGAGGTGAGGTGTGAAATGGCTCTGGGTCGCGGAACTCGATCCATCCAGTGCCTTGTGGGGGTGGCTGGAGGATTGAAGCGCGTCTGCTGCCTCGTCGACGAGACTGAGCAGTATGGGCCTCTTCAGAAATGGAGGAGGAGAAGACTCTTCCATGGCCAACAACATATTTGCCCTCGTCAATGCCATCTAACTGACCATACGAGGCTTTCGCCACGTCCTGTGATTTTTGCTGGCGTGACTTGCCTGGCAGGTCATCGGTATTAGCAGACTTCTTGATAGTGACGTGGGAATCATAGGCGTTAGATAATTGATATTGACTGGACTTAGAGCTCTTGATGTAGGGGAGCAAACCGGATCTCATGTCGGCATAGCGGACCGAATTGTGTTTCTTGGTCTCTCTACGGCGATTTGCTGGTCCTTCGGGTCTCGCAGCAGTCTTGTGAACAGAGTCCTCTTCATGCAAGAATGTACCGAGGGACATGGGCTTAGACTTGTTGAATGTGACTCTCTTCGTAGCATTGGCGAGTTCACCGTTAATCACTGTTGATATATCCTCGTGATGCCGAGCTTGTCCATTCTTCTTGTCATCGATGATGTCTTCCTTTTTAGACTCTGCGGTGGATGAACTCGATGATTTGATATCCGACTTTGGCGATGTGTCGGAGGTAGATAGTTGGTCAACCATAGGCTGGATGTAGGCAGTCTTGGAAACATCCCATTCGACATCGACATCGCACCTCCTGTATCCGAGTCTGAACTTGAGTCATAATTTTGAAATACCTCAATACCGATCGCACGCGACTGCTTGATCTTTACTTCGTCGTTCGGGTCGACAATATCCGAGGCTGGCGAAATCTTCTCAGTTGTCGCGCTCTGGTTGCTAACATTGTCCAAGCCAGAGCCAATGTCAACAAATGAGAATATAACTCCAGGGAAGGGATCATCCGCTGTCCATCGTCAGTATGTTCTCGCGTAGATAGGCAGAATGCACTTACAGTAAGTATACCACAAGTTGATCTCCTCGTTTTGGAGCCACTTCACGTCGACGGCTTCACCTTTACCCTGGGCGATGGAGACCCGTCGAACAGCTCTATATGCCCCTCCGTGGCGTACTTTGTTGGCAGCAGATTTTGAGAGCCCCTCAGTGATCATTCTGTCGATCTCTGCCAGGCAGGACTGGTAAGGCTCAGGTTCGGTCTTTCCTTGCCACTCAGCAGACTTATCTGCGGAGTGGTCTTCGGCAGATCCTCCGGCTGAGGAGAGATCCCATGACGGGGCGCGCATCATTTTTCCCATGCTTGCTTGAGGCTTCATAGTTGCCGTAGAGAGAGAAATTGTGGAGGTGGAGTTGAAATTGGAGAAGGAGACGAGGGAAGAGGGAGACATCGCTGCCGGTTGCCTGGGTTGGCTCGGCTACCATATTCACTTCTTTTTGACCTTCAACCCTTGTACCGAGAATGATTCATCGTAGGAGCCTGATACCTGGCCAAAAACAATATACGTCAATGTACTAAGCTCTATATCGGTTCCTGTTCATAGCAGCGTGTAGCAATCTGAGTCCCGAATTTCTTAATAGTATTTAACAGCATCTCAATTACATTCGTTGCCTTGCTGCTACTTGGTTTATAGCAACCTCAGGCTGCGTGAAAGTCTCAGTAGCATGGAGATTCGTAATTTTGCATCAAAGATATTCGATGCTCACATGATACGCACGTGAGCTGAAGCTTCTGGTGCAGATTGCTTGGCGAGATAAAGTTGATCCCAACCTCAGCTTCAAAGCATAAGCCACGGCATCATCCATCACAGCAAGACACCCGCTCTCTTGTCTCTTATTCCCACGACCTAGACTCCCCTGTTCTGAGACAAAGAAGACCCCTTTTCCCTTGGTTGCTCCTGGACCTGCCACGGATGAAAGACATCTCTTCTCGGGAACTTCTACCTTCTGGCCGAGGAGGTGAAGGTACTTTACTATGTCGGAAGCACTCTGCCTCTCTTTCCTACATCTCCTCACAATCATGCATCTTTCATTCCATCCGAGGCTTGAAGCCTTCCAAGACTACTGATCGGTCAGGATAATTCTCAAAGCGGGGAAGTACGGTCCTCTCAAGTGTCCAAACACAGGCCTCCACCACAATTCTAACCTCATTCGCAAGATCTCCAAACTGTGGCGTCCACAGCTTTGTATCTTTTGCTAAAGCATTGCCTCCACAACCCCAATCTTCATCATCCTCGGTACACTATCAGGTGGTGATCAGTCTTGGCGAAGAAAAGAAGGCGTCCGTAGCGGCTGATCATGCTGTCTTGGCCGATCATCATCTCCCCCGTCTGGCAGGAGCCAAGATCGTGCGATTCCTCCACAAAGAATCATTTTAACCTTAAAACCCTTTTAGGGGTCTTTGGCACGGCTCGAGGAAGCCAAGCCTGTCACTGGTTGGGGGAAATGGGATCATCGCTCCCCGCTTCGTTAGGTGTTGGCAGTTGCCGCCACGATGCCGGTATCTGAATAGCTTCATTTAGCTCGGCTACTAGTACATGACGGCTGGGAGAGAGGCACCAGGAGGCAATGACATGATCTTTTGACCCGCCTGATCTGCGAATATAAAATGGCGATGATTTCCTTCATGTCTTGTTCGAATATGATTTCCATCTATTACTTCCTATGAACCATCGAAATGCGTCTTAATACCCTTCTCAATTTCTTTGGTGCCGCAGCGCTGGTAGCCAGTGCCCCACTAGCACCAATTGTCCAAGTTCCCAATGTTGCAGATATCATTCCCGACAAATGGATTGTTGTCATGAAAGACATTTCAGACTCTGCTTTCGCGACACATTTAGCAAACCGCGACGCAGCTGTCGTTTCCGGAACAAAGTCAACGTTCAATCTGGGCAGCTTCAAAGGATACAGTGGAATTTTCAGCCAAACTCTAGTCGATCTCCTCACTTCAAGTCTTGATGTAAGTTCTCAATACATTCATTTCTCAACCATAATACTCTCTAACAACCTCACAGATCGCCTGGATCGAACCCGACACCAAAGTCCGCACCCAAGCCCTCACAACCCAAGCCAACGCCCCTTGGGGTCTCGGCCGTATCTCCCACCGCGCAAAAGGCTCAACAAACTACATCTACGACACCTCCGCCGGCGCCGGAACCTACGCCTACGTAATCGACACCGGCATCTACACTGCTCACACCGAGTTCGAAGGCCGCGCCACCTTCGGCGCCAACTTCGCTGGCGATGGCCAAAACGTAGACGGCAACGGCCACGGCACACACGTCGCTGGCACCATCGGTTCGCGCGCTTACGGCGTTGCGAAGAAGACCAATCTCATTGCTGTCAAGGTCCTCGATGCTAGTGGGTCTGGAGCCACTTCCCAGATCATCTCTGGTATCCAGTGGGCTGTCAACGACATGAAGAGCAAGGGACGCGTTGGGAAATCCCTCGCGAACTTGAGTCTCGGCGGTGCTTTCTCTCAAGCCACAAACGCCGCTGTTGCATCTGCCGTTCAGCAAGGTCTCTTCATGGGCGTTGCTGCTGGCAATGATGGACGCTCTGCTGCTTTGACATCGCCAGCTAGTGAGAGGTCTGCATGCACCGTTGGAGCGACAGATAGGAACGATGCGAGAGCTTCGTACTCGAATTATGGCTCTGTTGTCGATATCTTCGCCCCTGGTACGGATATCCTTTCTACGTGGAAGAATGGTCCTACGGATACCAATACCATCTCTGGCACATCGATGGCTACGCCTCATATTGTTGGATTGGGTGCTTACTTGATTGCTCTTGAGGGTAGGAGAGCACCTGGACCATTGTGTGAGAGGATCAGGAGTTTGGCGACGAGGAATGTGTTGACTGGTGTCACTCCTACTGGCCTTGGTGGCATTCTTAACCCTGGTCTCAGTGGAACTCCAAACTTGCTTGCCTATAATGGCAATGGTGCGTAAAGGCTGGGAAGTGATGAATGGGTTGTACCAAGTAAATTAAAGCATATTGTAATATCGGAGATTGTTCATAAACATTCAAACCTCAATTATCATTCACATTCGCGTCATAATTTACCCATTCTCGCTCTCTCGGGCATTGTTCGCGTTATGTATTCTTAACATCAGAACAGTACAAAACGCCTATACTCGCTCAATCCGTATACGGCCAGCATTATTTCTTTCCCGATCGTCGCTTCAAATCCTGGTCATCCCTAGGCTTCCCTAATCCCTGCATTATACGCCCCTGTAATGTATTTCCATGATGGAAAAGTCTCCTATTGGTATAGTAATAATCCTTCACACACGGCAGACCCATCTGGTCCCACTTGTGGTAAGCTTCAAACCCACGACGACAGGCGTCAATCTGCCATCTCACTCCTTCATTGGTAGGATCGGAGCTCGACTTGACTTCCAGCCAGAGTCTCAATGTCGCGGGATTCTTTGGTGCCTTTGGTTTTTCCTCAAGCTGGAATACTACAGCGGGGAAGAATCGACATATCTCTGCAAGTGCTTGTCTGGATTTCCCTAAGAGCTTGTCTTTTGCCCGTGAATCCGTAAACTCCAGTGGTGGGTATGGTTTCTGGGTCCGGAGATCGATATGAGCCTTTGGTACGGCACCGGTATTCAATGCCTTGACACCATCTTGGGTACTGGGACGGATTTCGGTGGCGGGGAAGGTGTATCTGTGGATTGCAGCAGCAGGATGACTTGGGACTGCCTTCTCAGCGAGCGCCTGCCAAGAACCGGGCATCGATTGGGCTGGAGGGGAGGGACGTCGCTTGCGGCGAGGTTCAACCGGAGATGGCGATCGGTATCGCGAATCTCTGCGGGGGTAGGAGTCATGACCACGTTCTAGAGATTCAAGACGATGGTCTATGCGAGATTCCCATCTTGGGGATCGAGAACGAGGCAGACGGTCCCAGTCTCTGGGAGGGTATAGGTCCCCACGTCGTCGAGGAGACCGTGAACGGGATCTTTCTCTGTATGCATTCCCCCTCTCCAGTCCTCGACCACGTTCTTTTGTGACTGTTGGTATGACTGGTTGTCGACGAAGGGCAGGACCATTGATGGTGGGATTGTGGACAGGGCTCACACCAGGAGCAGATGATGACAGGAAGAGCCCTCGAGCCGCGGGAAGTATAGAGGGTGGAGGAGTAGCGGTCGACAACTCGATAGAGGGGACAACTCTGGGACCAGGAAAGAGGTGAAGCTCGTCAGTTCCCCCTACTACCAGTCAGATGATGCGCCAAACTCCTTAGTGACCTAGTCGAAGCAAACTTACAGAAATCAATGAAAGTTCTGCGCTCTGCAAGGTACTGCTGGACATGAACTGGCGCATCGGATCGTTCAACTTTCACAGCCCTCTGATTATCTTCGACCGCTGCCCAGATCTCAAATTCTGTGATGGGCTTGCCAGCTTTTGCTGGAGAAGTGGCGGCTCGCTCGAGGAGCCAGGCCATTGGTGAGGAAGCCATCGAAGCGCCACGAGCACGGCTCAGAGAAAGAGATGAGCTCGCTGGCAGATTTCAAAGCTGTTGCGAGTCGCGTCGGAGTTGTTGATGGTGGGGGAACAGACAAGGTTGAAGGAAGCTGTGTTCGGTGTTGATGTTAAGCTCTATGTAGTTAGCGCGAAATTAGCCGAAAATACTCCTTCCGCAGTTGAATGTCCCAAGAAATATTTAGGACTTGAGAGAGAAACTGATCCCAAAACAGGTACAAATACGTATAATTGAGGTGTTCGTTATTGTTAGGACTACTAAAAACATTCAATGAATTACATGTTTGCCTGGGTTTGCTTGCTTTTCGGGCGACCACTGGCTATCACATTGAGGAACACCAACGCGGTTAATGGCTGCATGGAAAAGTTTCTTGATAGGACTGAAAGATTTTTTTTCGTCTATCATTGTGAGTGCGTACAATTTTGCTTCACGATCATGCATAACAGGGCGAAAGAAGAACCAAGTAATGATGTTCGTTACATAGGGTAGGAGGAGAAAGAGTCGCACAGGTGCTGAGCTTCTCAGCTTTGGACCGTCAATTCCGGACCAAGTTGACTCAAGTTGCTCTGCTCATGACAGATTCAGTTTCCTTCAGATCATGGACCTTTCCCTGGTCTCTTACAGTTTTCTCAAATGTTCCAAGCATTCACCTCAACACATCCACGACAGGCTCAACGAGTTTGAAGAGTTTTGACGTCTTACCTGTATGGATTTGAAAGTACCAAGATGCAGTTATGACATTATATAATACAAACAAATAAGCCCAAGCAGCGAACGGCCAGCGGATCCTCGTCGCAACGGCACGTGCTCTATATCATGTGTCCACAACGGTTCCTGGGGATCTAAAAGAATAAACAATCCGTCCATAGTCTAAATATACTGTTTATGATCATGATTGGCTGTCAGAATGGCATCATAGTCGTGAGAAGCCCATGTTAAAGGTACCCAACAAATGCCAGACGGTCATCACGTGAGGTAGCGCGAGCCTCCATTACTACGGCTAGTAATTTTTCAACCAAGGCACCTGCAGCACTAAAAACCTCAACGAGAATCATCTCAGCGCCCTCTAACTATTTTTTCTATGACTTGCGACATCGCAATGTGCTTAGTGGGTACCCAGAGAGCGACTGTTCGATCCGCCTTATGTTCATGTGATTCGAGTCATCCAGAATCTGCCGCTTTGACGAAGGAGCCTCTCGCTGGCCTCATCAATGGCCATTCTCCCTGGAGTCAGTGCAGTTGATCAACTGGTACAAGTCCAATATCCATCATATTGGGACCACCTTCCATAAGTGATCAGGGTCTTGAGGGTCGATCGATTGCGCGCGGGGCGCTATGTCAAGTGAAGATGAACAGCACGCATGGGACGGGCAGGATTTCCCAGAGTTTGACTCCAACTCTACGCACAGGAAGAAGCTGGTAGTGACTGAACATGGTCATCTTGGACCTCAGACGTCTAGTAGTGAGCCTTAACGGAATTTCGAGTGGTCCTGACCAAGAGCTTGGAGTGTCAGCCTCGTCAATGCCACTCGACAGATCATACAATATCATCAATTTCCAGAGACCTGAGATAAACAAGCTTGTTAGCTTCTGCAGCGACCGTCAGGAAAGAGGCCTCGCGGTACCAACGTGAGCGCTGCCAAACACATCTGATCACTCATTGACTTTACCTTTGACAGATAGTTCGACACAGAGCTGGCAAATATTCTCTATAGGTCTTTCTATGTCAGAAACTTCCATTAGTAGGCGGAAATTTCTTAGCAGTGGCAGTGTACATCATATTGCACACACAACGATGATTCGCAATTCGACAATCCGAGACGGTCATTAAATATTTCAGCAAGATCCAAGCAACAATAAAATCCTCGATTCAGCCGACACTTTCCATGTTGTTGCCGAACTCTTTCCCCCAAAAGCAGACGAAAAGCTAGAGTGTTCATTAGAAGCCAACGCATTCACAGCATTCCAGTCATGAGAGGAGCCTGGAGAAGAGCCTGGACGCAGAAATCGATGCTCAACATGTGTTGAAGCACGCCGTTCGCTTGCCACACCACCAACACCTTACTCAGAAGCCTCTTAATAATTGGATTTGTCCAGTGTCTTGTCAATTACTTAACTCAAAGTTCAGGAGTTGATCGAATAGAATTTTTGACTCTTCACTCCATATCTTTATTCGACACCGTTCGGTTCAAATTACAGATTAAATCATTAATTTCGCGCATTTGCAGATCGGTCATGCCAATCATACGTTAGTTTTAAGTCCTACATTTTGGGTTGTTTCTGCTTTCCAGTTCAAGCAAATGATTTCTCAGTTCCCAAGTAGTGTATTTCTGTTGTCTTACCCCTTTTCTCAAGCGAGACAACACGCAACTAGGCTGAAAGTTCAGGAGGCGCAGATCCACGCCCATGCTTATCATAACCGCACCTGTCACTCAGCCTTACGGAACCAGTATCAAATGAGTAGTTGATGGTGGCGTTCAGCCCTACCTATATCATATCCACTATACCCACGTGATAATTGCTTGTACCTAAGTACCTCTTCTCCTTCCAAGCTGTTATCTCCAATCTAGATGAATTGCTTCCACGCATGCTTCTCATCCAGGGGCTTTCTCAATTCTATTATATCTGCCCAGCGACATGTCAAACCATAAGAATGTCCTCTTTCCCCGTCAGCTTCTCGTTCGGCGGCCCCACTTGCGTAGCTGTCCCCCTTTTCCAGATTCACAAGTCCACAAACACATTGGAAAAGCGGCGCTTCATCCTTCCGCCTATCTAAAAACGTGGCGGATCGATCCCTAAGAGGAAGGCAAGTAGCACAAATCGCAACACGAAGAGGTGTGGCTTCAAGCATTCAGCCCAGCGCATGCAATGCAGGCCACTTAATTAACACCTCCACGTTTTCCATCCCTGGTCGAAGGGTGACTGGCTGCATCCTCTTTCACATATCAATATTATGATTTCTGTTTCGATATCTATCGGTCCTTTTTATCCGCACAACACAATCCCTTTCTCATCTTGCTAGAATCTTGGAAATCCTAATCTTGCTCGCTGTTTTTAAAATTACGGTCGGCAACTGTTTTGCTCGGAAAAGGCGCGCGCATCTAGGCACAGGAAAGGACAGATAGACATGGGTGCAAGCAACGTTACCACTCACTTAGCAGTACCGAAAGACGAACGACCAACGGCGCAACGCTGATTAGACCGTGGATCCCGACAGAAGAAATGAGTTGAGATGAGGTGCAGAATCCCATCTCACTAGAAGAAGCAAAAAACGTGTCCGGGGTAAAAGGGGCGGAGGTCCCGAGGAAAGGATTCAGCAATCAGAACGCACGCCGCCTGTTTAATGCCTGCTTGTTCGGATGAATGCAACTGCAACTGCAAATGCAGGGCGCAGGCAGCAGGGTCAGAGGTTCCAGTTCCAGCGGAACGAACCTGTTTCGAAACCAAAAACATCCCGGTACCAATCGGAGTCTTGTTTCTGCTGTTTTTCTAGAACGCTTTTATTTGGACGTCTCTCGTCGATGTCGTCACAGAGGGGTTCGATGCATGAATGCTGGCCAGTCAATATGCCACCATGGAGGAGAAGTTAAATGGTACATCTTGTAAGGCTGGACAGGGCTGTCGATGTGTCTCCAACACGCTCTAAATCCCGATCTGGGGCTTCTTCCACTTGCAACAAATGTCGTGAGAGGCTGTTTTTAGGGTGGTCGCGACAACTCTGGGGCGGCTCGCGGAGGCATCCGTCGTCGGTTGGGGAGGTTTTGGGCTTGTTTGAAAACGTTTAAGCTCGTGCGAACAGCGCCATCAACGCTGGTTTAGCGAACAGGCCTTCCCTGACTTCGATAAGAACAGACGATTGAATTTGGGGCTAAAGTGCCTATCCGTGTGCCGTTGGCAGCACTACTGGTGCTGGTGATGCTGATGCTGATGGGGTTGGGGTTGGGGATTCGCAGGCCTATCCTGTCCTTCTGATTTCTGACACCTCGATTGAACGACTTTTGTCGCCGTGCACTTTCTTCCAGAAGCTCTGGAGTCGACCGCCAGTAAGCCCCATGATATCTATCGCTTCATCATTTGACATCGCACGAAACCATCAAAGTCAACCCCCACGGCGGAGTCGCTGCCTCCCACGCACAGGCGGCAGCGTCACCATAACTGTATGTTCCTGGCCTGACGGGAGGATCTTGCTGGCTTGAGCAATATCAGATTCCATTAAGGTGGATTCGCTGGCATGGCTTCGAACTCGGGTAGAAGGCAAAGGCACTGGCACTTGCACTGACGCTCGGCGCGGGCCCCATGTCGAGCTAATTTAACCCGCAGGTGCCGGTATGTGAGGCATCAGATGAGGCCCCAACTGTTCGAATGGGTGCTGCGGTCAACAGTTCGTGCCGTTGGGGAATCCCGATTAGTCCAGTCGTTCAAAGAATGGCGTTGGGAGTTTGTCCCTACTGGATGGATGTGCCCCATTGACTGGGGGCCGTACAGGGGCGTTACCACTCTTTGGATGCTGATTAAGTCCTGACAGGCACGAATCTGAATCTGCCATCGGGCAATAGTTTGGCGCTTGCTTGGGGGCCTGGTAAAGAAGAGGGGAACAGCATGGCATAAGAGGCCAGGGCAGGGGACTCTGGAAAGGAACGGATGCATTCGGGAGGGGGGCCATGGCCTCGAGTTGGGAGAGTTAGGGCATGACAGGCATTGTTTACTCCTACTGGCCTGTACCGAACAGGGCACAGCAACTGTGTTTGTGGCAGAGCTGTTGCAGGCTGCCTTCTGCATTACAGGTCTGCAGTAGCCAACCCGTACCGAACAGACCCATTTATTGGCATATGTTGTGTTTCTTCCATTTCTGTCACATCAGGGGGCGGCCGTTGCGAAAAGGCGAAGAAGAGGAAGAAGGCTCGCTCAGGAAGGCTAGAAAGAGCTGCACTACTCCTCATTTGGTATACCTGCGACGCATTCCGACTGCTTATGGCCACTGTCCGGGAGCGGCACATGGTTCTCCCCCATGCTGTCTGTCTCCTTCGAGAAGCCTATCCTGGGCACCTCAACGGCTTTGATATATCCCTATCGATGATCACCTTCAGAAACGAATTTAGGCAACTGGAGCATGGTCCAATGAGCAGCGGCTCTTTCCAGTGCAGGAAGGACTATCACCAATGCAGATCACGCGCCAGCCACGTCTGCTGTTCTAGATGGCCATCGTTTGCTGCCAGTGCCAGCCAATTGAGCCAGCCCAGACCTGGAGAGAAACGATGGGATTACACTGCCGTTACTCTAGTGGTGACGGGGGGATGGCATGGCTTAAGGACGAGGAGAAGACACTAACATGAACAAGCGATCCCATCCCCCTCCAGCCCATCCCATGATAGGTATCCCCATCATTCCTTGCCCACTCTGGCTGGGCTCTAGAGAATGCGGAAGGAAGTTAAAGCCATGAGGCTTTCGGCCCCTCAAAAAAAGTTTGGCCCCTATGAAAAATATGACCCTAGCTCCCCTTGCTCTGAACCACGAATCAATGCTTAGCACCATACCAAGCATAAGCTCATTCTCAGGCCTTCATCTATCTTTTCTCCCCATGCCATGCCTGCTTGCTTGCTTGGTCTGAGTGTAAACATGATCACCATTGTTCTGTGCGCTTGAACTCTGGCTCGTCCATCTTGTTTCGTCTTCTTGTTCGTCGTTACCGTCACTCTTTATTACTCTTTCGGTCTCCTTTCTTCCCTGCTAGAGGGGGAATGTGTCGATGTCCATCACGCAATCAGTAACGATGGCACATATAAAGCCAGAAGATGGTGACAATTCCATCTGGCAAGGCTATAGTCTACATCCTCCCCATCCGACATCATCACAAGGCCCTGCATACGATTCGGCTTATCACTCCCCTGCGATGACAATTCCATACCATGGTCGACCTCAGAAAAGCAACTATCGATCCCTGGATATACCATTCAGCCACGCACGACCAGCTTTACGGAATGGAAACGGGATACTGACAGCTTCACCTCCATCCTTGAATACGCATCATAGCTATCCATCACTCAAGAGAGCCTTCCACGATGATTCGCCATATGGAGACCACATCCAGAGCTATAGGGACGACTTGCAAGATATCCCAAAGCCGAGTATCAACCAAGATCACAGACTCCTCTCTTTTGCCAGACTGCCTGAGAAGAACACCATACTGGATGGCCAGGGAAGAGTACAACGTATTGACCTGGCAGCGCAAATCCATGGCATGTTTTTCTTGTCTGAACTGGCGACGCCAGCAGGAGAGAACATGATGCAACCAGAGTTGACATGTTATCGACGGAATCTTTTCCAAATCTCTGGAAGTGTCACTGCAGCAAGAGGCGCATTATCTGTACTGACAGATCGCGGCGAGAGAATCCCCATCGTTTCTATGGAGGTGGTCATCTCAGCAACAGAGTCGGTCGACGGCCATATCGTCAAGTTGATTGTGATCCCTTGGAAAACTCCACCTCCCAACTCTCCAGAAATCCCAACCGGACAGGAACACGAACCAGCGCCGATACCACTACTGCCATTTGACGAAGGTCCCGATGCGCATAGTGATTTCACAGTGTTTCCGATTGCCTATCGAAGGTTGCAGTTCCGAATCGCTACTGCGAACAACGGACGAAGGAGAGAACTTCAGCAACACTTCACCTTGCATCTGAATGTTGTTGGGACGCTCGCGAATGGGACGAAGATGAATGTGTGCGAGACATCGACGTCGCCGATTGTGGTGAGAGGAAGAAGTCCAAGGAATTTTCAAGCAAGAAAAGAGATTCCTCTTGTTGGGTCATCATCTTCTCGTGGACAACCACCGGAACTCCACGTTACTACGAATGTAATGCCTAGCCTTGCAGTTTTGGAGGGAAAGGCTAAAATGAGCAAGCCGCATGTTGTTGAGCTTCCTAGGTCGCAGTTCACCTTTGATTCGAGCACCATTTCTGGATCCCCTTCAATGGTTCGACAGTCGTAAGTCATTCCCTGCGCAAAGTTCCTCGCACATACAAATAAGCTATTACCTTTGGCCCCCGATACCCTCTCGCAGTGTCAAAGCAGAAGATGAAACAAACGCTGACAAGAAACAGAACTTACCAATCTTGGAACACGGCACATACTCCGGACCATACTACGGCACCAAATACACCCAGCTACCCTGCACCATCTCTAAGTCTTGACTCCTACCTGCAAGTCAACAATACCAGCAACCCAGCATCAGATCTCCACTCTTCCCACCCTCCATCAACAACGATGCCAGCGCCCCAACCCCCAAACCGCCAACACTACACCTACCACCCACCATCTTCAGCACCAACCAGTGAGCCCCTCCGTTTCATAGACAACAATCCACGGCCTGCCAAATCTCCACGGCATGCCGCACCCGCTGAAGTTCCTCTGCCTCCACTGCCTTCAAATGGCAATTATGAGTACGGATCGCGGTATATGCCACCCTACAGCAGCAACAATAACACCAACGAAGCTATGCCATCAAGAGCACCAGATTACTTTCCACCGACTCAACAGCAGATGCAATCTTGGACCAGTGGACCGGATACGAGTGTGGTTTATGGGACTAGTCAAGCGCCTGGTGTGCATCATTATGAGTTTCCCAGTGAGCAGTACAAAGAGGAAAGTGCGCCACAACAGCCGCATTATACTTGGAATTCCGCCTGAAGAAAACAATTGGCAGCTTTTGGACGAATTCAATGCCTTGAGGAGGTCGATGTGGCGTATTTTTACCGAAAGGACAACAGCACAACCTATCATTACAAAAACTACATAACGTTCATCAGTCAGCATTGGGCCCTTTAACAGCACATCTTTTTAATTCAGCATATACGATAACCGGAAGTGGGCATAGAAAGGAGGATTGGAAGGGGGAAAGGAATTATTCCAAAATGCCATGTTGAATGGATAATGATGTGGGATTCAAGAAGGGAGCTTTCGACGGGGAGTATTGGGAAATATGGGTTGGATATACGACGAGCTCATTGGCTAGGGGATTCTTCTGGAGGCGTAACATTGGCATCAAATGGATTGTTGGACTTGGTTGAACTCATTCATGTGGTTAAGGAGATGATGGAAACGGATTGGAAGTCTAGCGGAAAAGCAAGATACCCCGAGTACACTCCATAATTAATTCCCATAACTTTGAAACCTCCAACTTGATCTCATATGGTGATTTAAATATGTTTGAATCCGGATTGAATTTGCTGAGAACTGTAGTCGCTGATGTTGAGGACTCGAAACAAAACAAACCCTCGGAAACGAAACTAAACACCAACAAGAAACGAAACACCCGACCATACATATACCCAGAAGTGTCCTTGCAAGCATCAACAGGCTGAAACACAAACTGACAGCCCCGGACCCAACAGTTCCATTATCAAACACGGCTATGCAACAAGCATCGCCCAGTCAATCAATGCGAACGATGATTGCGGATGCTTAGCTTCCCTAACAGACAATGCCTCCATCCACTCCAAACGATGATTCATTCAATGCTACACCAAACCTACCAACGCATCCATCCATCTCACCACACCATGCATGAATCCTTCCCGTCTGTGACTGCAACCCATAAAATCTAGCATCTCGGTTCATTTCCTGCCACCGCGCGCATTGCCCCAGAACTTGAATTGCTAGAAACAATGGTAACGAAGACGGATGATCAGGACTCAAATCCAAGATTATATGAGACAGAGGTATAACGCATTTCGAATTTTAATCACTAATCATTAATTCTCATTCGCATTGTGCAATCTGCCACCTCTATTCAATAAACCGTCAATACATCCTATCCACAGTAAGGCCCGCATCTGAGGAACTGAAAATCCGGAAATCCTCCCTCCACCAATAGTGGATATGGTCCACTGTCAGTTCGTTGCACAAAAGGGAGTACCGTAGTTCACCGGTCCAAACGTCCCCTCCCCTCTCCTACCCAACCCAGGTAGAATCGCCAAGCGCTTCCAAGTGTGGTACAAGCTTGGACCAGAGTCTAGAAAACTCAATGCGACGCCACCGCCAAATAATGCCATAACATCGCTCTCGTATCAGATCATATCATATGAGCAGCGATCGCAATGACCCGCGCTGCGCACGTAACACATCAGATCAAATCCCATTGTTACGTCTCATTTATTACGGGTATCCTAGAGCCAATGATCACCATACCGCGACATAATAAGTATTGATATCGCCAAATCGCCTCACCGCAGCACCACGACACGGATTAATGCAAAAATAAAACCTTGAAAACACGATTTCTGCTGATAAAAAAGGGGACGGGACGGAACTCAAGTCTGCCTCGCGCCAAATGAAACACGTCCATGCAAAGTAAACTGCATATCTTGTGCCCTCCTCCCCCAAGCAAGCAATCGATCGATCGTCGTCCTCAAGCCTCCAGTAATCTAACGTAATCACATGTCGACCAAAGTTTTCGAAGTCAAAGAACCCATGCCTTACGAGCAAAGCAACCGACCTCAAGATTTTCACATTTCCGGTACTCTTCGGAGATCGGAAAATTACATCACCTGTTCGCCTGCCACCACCGATCTAGCCATTTGCCCCCCGGCTACCCCCGGTTGCTGGTGAGAGAGAAAGAGTCCGTAAGACGGAGCTCATGTCAGTTTTTGGGGGATCGGCTCGAATCGGTATCGGTAGTTGGTTCCTGGGCGGTTGTTCTCGGCCGTTATCCGAGTGTTTTGAACGAAAACAGATGTTTTGAATTTTTTTCTCTCTTCGGCTTTCTTTTCGCACGTGCTGAAAACGGTTTTCCGTTCTCTAGGTTGATCTTTTCCGGATATTCTCTTGACGCTCACTATTGAATGTATGGACGGCCCTTTTTTTGTTGCCTTGAGCCTAACCGTTGGAATGGAATGTCTTGCAAAAAAGGCTATCCACTTCTTCCTATCCACCTTCCATCTACAGCCATACTTTATTCAGTCTTGACTCATGGGGACTGACGATGGGGCTGGCAAACTCCAGGAACAGGACGTTTACTGAGCCGTCAGAAACCTACCCTATCGAGTGGAGAGGATCCATTGTCAAGTAAGTTCTTTGAACGAAAAGGTAATGTATAATGTAGCATCGAATGCCGCAACGGAGAAGTCCCAAATCCAACACCGGAATAAGCCATCCATCAAAACTGTAAAAAACCACATGCTCGGACTTGGTTGTAATAGAAGTCATCATATCGTTTCTCTTCAGGTCATCGCCGTCTAGGTTCATGGCCTCGGTAAGGCGCAAAGACAGGTCGTGCAAGACATTGCAGCGGGTACATGGAACAAGGTTTCAAGCCCTCCTTGCCCCCTGCTACATGTCCCTGTGCCTCTCTCTCTGCCCCCCTTGTCCTCATCCTCCATCCTAGCCCTCGTCTTCGTCACCATCACCCCCCTGGTCAGAAACTACAATCCCAGCTACGTCTGTGCCACAGGATGAACATTCCGAGCCAAGAATAATTCGTTACTTTCCATATCCCTATCCCTATCCCTATCCATATCAATATCAAATTCACAAATAATCCGCTAATTCTCCGGTCCAAAATCCAACCTTTCCTTTGATAACCGATCAAGAAAAGCTGCGCGCTAGCTCGACCTCGCTTCGGCGGGTAAATAGACTTCTGGATGGCACAGCAGGAGCGGAAAGGTTAGCGCAACGGCGGAGTGGAGGTGGGGCCGCCGGTGCAAGCGAGGTGTGGAAGGAATTTAGTTGTTCCGCTCTGACAGAATTGCAGTTGCATAAGGAGCTACTACAGAGAGAGAGAATCTCCTATATAAAGGGGTAGCGTACTCAGTAGTACGGCCTACAGTACTGAGTCTACGCCTATAATCCCTATATTTCTAATAGCCCCCCTATTCTTTATATCTGTAGTAAATAGAGCCTTCTAAAGTAGTATAGCGCTGAATATTCCCGAAGTGACACTAGAGTATCACCGAAGTATTACTAATAACTTATATTATATAAGGAGCCTCGATTATACCTTATTAACTCCTATAATATACTAGTATATATATAGTACTTACGTCTCCTGTTTTCCTAGGAGTTTAGTAACTTTACAGTATTAAGGTATATAAAATAGTATAAGAGTGTACCTAAATCGCTCCCTTATTAATAATCTCCTACTCCTACCGCTCTTATTTACCCTTCTTTATAGCTACCTTATACCTTTCTTTTATAGCTACTAAGATATTCCTTACTAGCCTTCTCTCTAGCCTCTAAGGTATATAAAAGTCGTTCTCTTCTAGTTCTGTTTCCTTTCCTTCTTCCTTTAACCGCGGAATAAGATTTATCTTAACTATTAGGTATAATAGTTATATATTATATTTTACTTAATTCATAGTTATATATTATCATTAAGGAAGATATTTATTAAAGAACTGATTTTCCGTGAAGAATATTCTATTTTTTATAGGTTCTACTACTAGAAATAGCCTTGATTTATATAGGTCTACTATTAATTAGCTAACTATTATTAATCTTAGAGTTATTATTAGAGAATTAGTTATTACTAAGTAACCCTATATACGTCTTATATCATTTAAACGATTCTAAAGGTAAAGCTTTTATAAGGGTGTCTATTATATTATTATTACCTAGAACGTGTTTTACTACTAACTTATTATATAAAACTATATTATCTTAAATATAAAACTAGCGGATATTAATATACTTTACCTTTAGATAGAATTTCTGTTCTTTTAAAAGAGATTCAGCTCTAGTGTTATTAAGATATAATATAGGAATTCGGGATAGCTTTATATTAAGGTCTTTTTATAGCTTAAGTAACTAGGCTACTTCTCTAGAGCTATTACTAGTAGCTATTATCTTAGAATCTAAGCTAGAGAGAGCTATAGACCTTTGCCTATTAGTAGCTCAAGAGATTAGACCCCTATAAAACCTTACTATCTATCCTTAGAACAATTTCCTATTATATTCCGTTCCTTATGTAGTATTAGTCTAAATATCGAATATATTATTATCTAGCTTTCCCTTGTATTTTATTCCGATTCTAAACGTTATTCTGTTACTTTCTATATATTATAGATATTAGAAGAGAGGTTTCGTGTCTTAGAAGTAAGATTTAAGGGGATTTAATATATACTACGCTAGCTAGCCTATTATATAAGTAATATCAGGTCGTGTGAGGTTCGAGAGGTATATTAAAGAGCTAATAATCTACTAAAATAGTAAGATCTCTTCAGGGGAAGCTAGTATAATACCTTTATCTTTAGCTAACTCCCTTAGTACTATTCTAGCAGCTATAAGTAAGGTATTACCTCTAGCTACAGTTATTCTAAACCTTTCTAGTAGCTTTTATATATAAGCTATTTAATAAATCCGCAGAGTCTTATTCTTCTTATCCCTTTTAACTTATAAGCTTATAAACGTATTAATAGCTCCGAGGTTTTTACTTTTCTAGATCTTTAAGAGCTATTTCTTAAGATATTCGCAGTTAGTAAGGTTACTTATAATTAGTATATTATTAATGAAGACTAATATATACGCTCTATTCTTAAAGATAAAGAGATTAGGGTTAGCTTCTAATACTTCTAGACTTAGCTTTTCTATCTTATCTTTAATAAAGAGCTACTATTCCCTAGGTACTTATTTCAAGCTATAAAGAGAGCGTAAGAGCTTTAGATATATATCTTTCCTTTTATTTAGCTCTAAGT